TCCTCGTCTACATGCCGAAGGCCCTCCAATGTATATTCTTTATCAACGTCGCGAAATGTCTAGTCCACTTGTCAGTGCTTTAACTGATCAAACGACGATTAGCAGACCGTAAGTTCTTTCAACCAATAGGAGCTCCTATTTACCGTTTACATTTCCACAGGGTAATGCAAAGCATTTTGTTAGGTGTACACAGTAATGATCTATTGGAACCTCTGAAAAGGCTAGGAATGGAACGACAAAAAATCCAAAAAGTGCGAGGTATCGACCGAACACACTCGATATACAGAGACATACTATTTCTAGCGTGCAAGGCATTGGGTCGTTCCAATATTGACTTAAATGCTTTCGATAAAGAATATGCGCTGGCGTTTTCACGTCTCCCTGAACGAAACAGTAAACTTTACAGACCCCAAGACCGTCCTTTAAGTCTTGGCAGTTCGTACTGTCGACAATATTTTAAACCTCTTTCCTTAGTATAAGTTATTTTATGTGGTTTCGATAAAACTGCAACATTTGTTAGTTTGTTGAATGTGATTTTTGTGGCCTTCTTGAGTAAACGTTACTTGTGAAAACATTTACGTGTATCTCTTGGTGCACCAACATTACTTTTTATTCTGCGCTAACTTATCACATTGTTTCTTTCTTAAGAGGTATATCCTATTGTTTGTTTTCAACTGTATATAGACATGTCTAATAAGTATTAAAAAGTTAATGCTATTTTCAAATAAAATATTTAAAATAGTTCTTTTTTATTTCTGGAAAGGTAGTTTTTGTCATTAATATTAGAACCCGAAATTTTAAAGCAAACAGATTCGGCTACTTCAAAAGTTACAGCCCCTTGCATTTTTGTTGAATTTGGTTTTTTGCCTAAACTTGATTGAGAGGTCTAATCGAAATAGTACGAATCGTTTTGTATTCTACGGGCCTAAATTAATAAGAAAAAGTGTTTTCCTGAGAAATTTTGGTGCAATTTTTGGTAAAAAAGGAAGGATTATAACACTGCCTTTTTTGGAGGCGCGAAAAAAAAATTGTCTTAGATCGACGAATTCTTTTGGATTCTACGCACCAAAATTAATAAGAAAAAGAGAGCAAAAAGAGCATTTATTGAACAGATGAAATAAACTTACAAAGCAACATACTGTTTTTATATATACACATCAATGGCAAAACTGATGTCATTAAGTTATGGAAAAGAGATACAGTTATTGATGTCTTTGTTATTTATTAAGCACGACATTGCTGCTTTACCTTTATCACCACAGCAGAGTCCAATGAGAATGTAATTTTTTGTTTTTACTTCCTCCATTTTATTAATATAGGGCACTTTTTTGGCTTGGCTGCCGAAAAGGATTTCTTTCAAAGCCTCATAAGAAGAATCCTTGATTGCTTGAAGATCATCAGCCTCAATATGCTTGAACTCCCAAATAACTACACAATCATCATTTTCCATGAACAGGTCGATAAATCCCGTTACTTTCTTACCATCCATCTGAATTGTAACAGGTTTCTCCATCTCGCAATATTTGAAGTCTGCTTTGAGCATGGTAACAAACATAAGAGATTGTATTGATCGTTCCTTCACCTTTTGTCCGCGGAACTTTGACAAAAGTTTTTTCAACTCCTCATAGAAAACACTTAAACTCTCTTCCTGTTCATCTGCAGATTTATCAGGTAGTGACTCAAAATATTCTGCACATTTATGCATTGACAAGTTACTAAATCCACAAACTTTCACATGGAAATTACTAAACATCTCTAGATACGCAGTAAGGACTTCAGGATTTGGAGCTTTCACTTTAACAGATCTGCTAGAACGATGGCTTGGATCAATGGAGAGATACCCTTGTTCCATGAAAAATGAGTAGACAAGTTGTTCTTGATTGTTTTCACCATTTAAAAAGTCAGCAAGATCCTTGGCATCCAACTTATCACAGGACATAAAAGAGAAATTTCCCCCTGTTGTTACATGAACCATTGTTTCCATTACATCATCATTTTTAAGAACTTTACCAAGTGCACTAATGTTCCAAAAATTGGTCTTTCTGATCTCAGAAGCGTTCAGTTCCACACGAAGTCGAATGTAGTGCAAAACAGACCATAAACAGCACACAGCTTCAGTTTTAATATAGTATCCATTGTAGAGACCCAATACCTCTCGTTGGATAGAAGCTTGTTTCTCTTTTTGCTCAGGGAACACACTTTCAAGAAGCGTAGTAAGCTCTTCATGCCCAACACCATAATATTTAGCAAACCGATCATCATCTAGTAACCATTTGTAAAATGGTATGTTGTTAAGATGCTGAGAAATACCAATGCTTCCCAGAAATGACACACCCGTAATTAGTGATCCCAAGAGATGATTATCCGCCACTTTTCCTTTCACAACTGCACCAAGCAGGGACATTACTATATTGCTGATATCTTTTACTTCATCTCCACTTTTACCACCCAACAGGGCGTTCACCACAGGAGCATCAAACTCATCAACCAACAGGTACACTTTCTGTTTATGGTGAGCATGTAAATATTCAATCAATTTTTGCAAACCTATGGTTGGATCCTCTCTCATGTATGTATTCATACCACACCATGCTTCACAAGCTTCATATGCTGCTTTTACTTTTCTTGGTGAGTCAGCTAAACGTTCGTCCTTCATCAGGTATGAAAAATTCACATAGAGATCATGTACAATGCCTCTGAGACCATCCTTTACAGTTTCTTTGGAAGTGCAATCAAGGTCTTTTAAGTCCAGATACACAACTGGGTGTCTCCCAAAGTATTCTTTAACAAGTTCTTCTTCCTTTATTATCTTACATGGTGGTGACAGTCCATATCTGCAAAATGCTTTAAAATTTTCGTATTCTTTCAGTTCTTCTAAATTCTTAGGTGCATAGCTTATGTCTCGACCAGCTACAATTTCGAAGAAGCACTTGACCATGTCTATATTCAGAGACTTGCCAAAACGCCTGGGCGCAAAAATAATCACACGACGTGGTTTCTTCAGCAATTCGGCAATAAAAAGGCTTTTGTCAACCCACCCTATCCACCTAACAGCTTCTCTGAAATTACCCTCATTTTCATCAAAGATAAGTCGTGTTTCCTTCTGTAATAAAATCAGAATGATTAAAAATTACTACCGGTAATCGGTAATATATATTATTATTATGAAGAACTTACTTTTTGATTGTGTGTAGTTCCATCACTATCTCCTGATGCATCCTGAGCTTCAGTGCTTACTTGAGTGATAGGATCAGATGAATAGGATGCAGTAGAATCCATCTTCAGCCGCTTACTCAGTGACATGTGGCTCAACTGCAAAGAGAGTAATAGGTATACTACCAACAAGGTTTTAAAATGTGAAAGGTGATATATGCCAAAGAAAAAAAATTGTTGCTAAATATAAGTTATTACAATCAATCACAAATATCATAATCTTAGGAAAACAGTTTCAGTTTGTACCCTCATTGCATTATACTTTTCTTTGTAATTCGGCTAGGTGACCGAGACTGGTGTATTGGTAGTGTTTATTAAAACCTGCAGTTTCTAGAACACGTAGCGTTTTATCTCTAAATTCATTCCTTTGAAAAAAAAAGTTTAAAATCATCACAGAATTTAATATCTTTAATAATATAATTTTATATTTATCATTAATGTTTTTGTTCCAACAACTAAATTAGAAAAAAAGAACACAATTTATTGATCAAAGGCTCTCAAAATTTCAAAGCTGCCTCAATCCGTTTTACTTTTTCTGGAAAAGTTAATTCTTGTTTTGATGTATTTCTTAAAATTAAATCTTTTTGGTTCTTGATGACATTGTTACTGATATGTTTTGGTTTTTGTTTGAGCTCTGCTTTGTTAGCTTCACCCTGAGAGATATAATGTTAAAATCGTCTCCACAGCAGAGCAAGCAACATAATCTTCCACTGCGATTACGAGGACTGACGATACAGCATAAAACAACACATTCCTGTAGCAACGACAATAGCTGTAGGTAATTTAGTGGAAAATCGTAGCTCATAATTTCGTTTGTAATTTCTTGTAGTTGAATTTAAAATTACCTACCCCAGTGAAGTCGACGAAAAAACGTTGTATGCAATTCATGTATAAATCAAAGATTATTGGTTCGTTCGAATTTAATCCACTCGCGCAGCGCTCGTGGACTAAACATCTCACTCACCAATAAAACGCCTCAGTCAGCAATAAAATATTTTCAAAACATTTTTTAAAATATTATTGCAATATAGCAAAAATGTTTTTTAAAACATTGCAAAAATGTCTTAATGGCCACAAATAGGTTGCAGTTGCAATATTAAAAAAACATTTAAAAAATGATACTAAAATGTTTAAAAAACCTTTTAGAAATAATATTCAAATATTAAAAAAATATTTTCAAAATGTTTAAACGCTTGTTATATCACGTTATAAAAATGTTTTTTAAATCACATCCAAATATTTTTAAAAGATTGCAACCATATTATTGCAAAAATCTTAGATGCATTCAAAAAATATTTATTTATTAAAATTTGTGTTATATGTAATTTATTCACATGATGTGTTTCCTTTTAGATTCAGGAATCTCCATTGCCATTTTCAGGATCCCTACAACGCAATGAGTATTAATTTTACATAATGAATATGTTGCATAGGTATTACATTTGGGTAGTATCTTCATTAATCGCGTTTTTTCTTAATTTAACCTCAAGAGCCCTATAATATAAAAATAAAATTCGAGCCATTTAATATAAAATGTTATGAAATATACCTTTTCATTCGTGTAGGTGCTTGTGCTAACCACAACTGGATACTTTTTATAACGTCTTGTTTTGATTCAGATGGATATTTTTTTAAGACTGCAGCTAAAATACATTAGATAAGATACCAAACATTGGATTTTGTATGAATAACAATAGCAAGCTTGTTATTACAATTTTAGTATTTAAATAGTGTGCATATACCCACAACTGCTTTTGCCAATTCCATTTCCTGAAATGCTTGTTTACTTTTTTGGCCCTTCCAACTGAAATTGGAAGCCACTTCATTGGAAATAACATAGGCCATAATCGAACCTACCATCTTCGGTACAGATTTGCCTTCAGCCTGATGCAACAATGTTTTTATCTAAAATACGAGATAGATTAGTATGATTTGATCAAAACATAAAATGTCTTAACACAACCAATTTATTATTATTATCTGGATTTTTTAATTGCGTCTCTATATTGTGGAGTTGCTCCTCATTTTTTATCGGAAAAAGAAATAATTCGTCGGCATCGTAGGATTCTTCCACAGTTGCATTTACTTTTTCATTAGTATTTTCCCTTATATGTTTCAAGTGGGTTTTCATTTTAGTCATATCAACTAAAATTACAATAAATGATAAAATAATGAAACATTCTGCGAGGTAGCTTACCTGATAATTTGCACAACTGTTGTGCAATAGAAAAGAGAAGATTATTCCCATCAAAAGTGCAGTTGTGTTTGGTTTTTATATCACAGTTCACATTCACATTCTCAAAAGCAGACAATGAAAATGTGCTGTGGGAGTGAACGACAGGGTCATTATTTTGAGCAGAACTTGAACTCGGATTTGAAGCCAGTTCAGAAGGTGGCAATGTTGTCCTTTTGTGAGGTGCGGGTGTCGAGGCTTGCTTATTGTATTTTACAGAAAATGAAGGTGGAACTGTAGGGTAATGCGATTCCTCCAATAACTCCTTAGAATTATTGCGGTTTCTTGGCGAATTTTCCTCTGAGTCACATTCACCATGAAACTTGGTTTCTTTTTTTTGGCGATGTCCTCTGCCTTTTTCGTCATCTGAAAATAATGGTGCTTTTTTTGCTGCTCTAAACATCATTTGCAGAGCTTTGTTGTAATTGCCTGTAATACAAAAAATAACAACCTGCAAATTTAAAACATTTAACGTACCAATTTCATTGTGTATTATTTGTATCTGCATCTCTTCCCAGGTTTTATCTGGCGAGGCATTACTTTTTACTAAAAACTTCACCTTTGATGCCTTTTCTTGGGGAAATACGCATGTAGTGTTGTTAACAATCCATGATGTTGGAATGACATCGTAATCATTATCATCATCATCGTCAATAAATTGTATAAGAGTCCACATTCTACAACAACAGTCTACATAACATATAGAATAAGATTACGTAGTATAGTCGTGCCTATTAATACTATAAAATATAAATGAAACTGGAGTGTAGCTAAATATCTCCAAAAAAAAGAAACAAAATCTAAATTAAACTGTGAGTAGGTATAGCTTAAGAATAGGTATGTAACAGTGGAAATGCTACGACAAAGTCCTTACGTGGCAGTGTAATATATTTTACAGATACTTCTTTAACATCAAACATATTTAATTGAGACAATTTCGAAAGTTTGTAGATATCTAAATTATTACTTTGACAGGGAACCCGATAAAAATAATTTTTTATTAAGTACTTACGCCCTAAAATTACAAATGAATTGCTGATAGTCACCGTTTACTAATCTACAGCAATTATTGGGAGCTGTAGTAGAAAGAGTAAAGGAACGGAAAGAAATTTTTTTGTATTGTGGATTTCCACAATTGGGCAAAAGTGGACCACTTTGATGAGAAATTAACATTTTTGGTGTATCCGTATTATGAATAGGATCTATAGGCGAACCATAACAAAATTTTTCACTAATCCTATTTATAATCTGTTCCAAAGGTGCGTTCTTCGCCCTTACCATTCTCTTAATTTGCTGCATATAATTCTCGAATGGAAAAGCAGATATACTGTCTAAAGAAAAATCAGGGATTTTGCCTATAAAGTAATCAGCATCATCAGTCAAATGAATAAGTCCATGAAAGTTATGAGTCATCAAATCTGGACTATATAAAGTTTGCACATTTTTAATAAAATTAATTAGTAAGCACCTAGCATACTGTCTCTGATCTTTATCTTTGCATCTAAATGTATTGCACAAAATTGAAATGGCCACATGTAAGGTAATGAAATTGTTATATTTTTCAGGATCTAGAACGCCTTTTAAAACAACAGGGCCGAAATACAATAGAAACATTCGAAATTCTGTGGCTTTCCATCTAAGAACATATTTTATTTCTCTAGGTTTCCTCACAAAATCAGTTGGTGTATTTTGAACCAATTGTAATAAATTATTAGAAATTGTTGAAATATTTTCAAATGAAAGCCTGTGAGGTAAATCTCCAGAATACCATGTCACAATTAAAGTTCGCATTACCCCCAGACATACCAAATGCATATAGTCTAAGACAAAACCATTTACAAAATCTAAATTTGGTATTTTAACTAAAGAAGTGTCATGTAATCTGTATGATGGATCAATCCAATTAATAAAGTCACTGTTAGTTCTAGCAGCACAATTAGTTTCTAAAAAAATTCTTCTGTGGTTTCTCGTTTCTCCAACTACAGTACAACGTGTACAAGAAGAATAACCACTGTGTCCTTTAACGCCTAACACATCACTTTTAGCTGGAGCATCACACACAAAACCAATTATTCTTACAATAACATTTGTCATATTCAACAAACAACCATTTTGGATTAAATCTACAGCTTCAGTAACAAAGTCATTCAAAAACGCTGACATACTCTTAGGTTTTTGTAACCCATAATAAAAACCCAAGGGAAAAACTTGACCTTTCAATTGAACTATTGTTGGAATAGAAAATAAGATGGGAATTAGTTGCCCGGGGGAACTTTTAAAAAGTGGCAACCCGTCAATATTTATTAATAAATCTATTGTAGTGATGGATAACGATGTCAAAGGCTCAAAAATTACTTTTAATTGGTGCTTTAGGCCAATATGCACATATTGTCCCGGATCAACAGGCTTAGATGATAACAACCGTTTCACTTTTAAGAGAGTTCTTCCATCAGTTGGGAGACGAGAAAAACAAGAATGTTTTTTTAATCCCACAAGTAAAGAAGATAGTGCAGATGTTGTACAATTGGTATTCAACGCCCACTCTTGTAAAAAAATTGTAATATCTTCTAATTCGGTCTTAGGATTAGTATTCGATTCTACATCAAACAGACTAGCCGTACTGCTCTCTGAATCTGTAGATGAAAGCTTTAACATATTTGAAGATGGTGAACTTGATGAAACAGACGTAGCAAGAAGATTGGAACTATAGAGCATTCGCACCTTAGTATGCAGTATGGGGTCTTATGGACTATATCCCTCCTTTACTAATTTGCGTCATTCTTCAATAACGCTATCCTTATTCCTTACCGCAATGATGCCAAACTTATATATGATTGAATTTAAGCTTTAAAACAAAATATAACGTCAAATCTTCTTGTATTGTCATTACGTGTGTGGTTCGTTTTTGTCTTTCGTATTTAACACATTTTATTGTCTCATTGCTTTAAAAATCCTTCTTTTAAGAACGCCTCCATCTCGTACTTTATATACAAGGTAACTTTGAGTGTTCTTGTAGAACCGTTATTTGATTTCATCTTTTTAGAATATCCCATTAAATGGAAGCCGAAGCTGAAGCAGGATCTGCTAACGTGAAACGCCATAAAGGAGAGTGTTTTAGCCGGAAGGAGAAACACCTCATTATCAACGTGCTGAACTATTTCTTGGGAACGATGAACGTTACTGCAGCTGTGAAAGAAGCAAGTAAAGCTTTATGTTGTTCTGAACGGAGCATCTATGCCATTAAAAAGGAAGACGGAAACGAAGGTGTATCAAGCCCGAAAAAACGCAAGCAAAGAAAAGGGAAACAAAGCAATGATCGTCTTCATGTGTATGATGAAAATGTGCAATCAGTTATTCGACGTAAAGTGCATAACTTCTTCATTACAAATATTCCCCCAACTATGAACAGCATCTTAGCTTCCGTAAATGACGATAACGATCTACCCAACTTTAAACGCACCACATTATTCAATCTCTTGAAAGATATGGGTTTTGAATTTAAGATAAGGTTGGCCGCAAGAGTATCCTTATTGAACGGGATGATATTATACGATGGAGACATAAATACCTACGTCGCATCAGGAAGTTGAGAGAAGAAGGTGCTTAATCTTTTTATTATATTTAATTGCAAATTACATAATATTTATATTTTAGGTAAAAATATTGTGTATACGGATGAGTCATGGGTTAACATTGGTCATTCGGTGAGCAGGGTGTGGCATGACACCACCGTTGAAAGCAATCGTCAGGCATTCATCAAAGGACTCAGTACAGGTTTAAAATCACCCACTGGTCTAGGGCCTCGCTTTGCGTTAGTACATGCTGGTGGTGATAATGGTTTTATTCCGGGTGCGGAACTGACTTTTCTATGCAGAAAGAACACTGCTGATGCACACAACGAAATGGATGCAGACACTTATGAAAAGTGGTTTTTTGAACAGCTTCTACCAAATGTGCCACCGAATTCAGTCATTGTTATTGACAATGCCTCGTACCACAGTAGAAAGTTGGAGAAGATACCAACAATGTCATGGAGAAAATAACACATTATAGATTGGCTTCGTGAGAAAAATGTACCGATTGAAGAAAATCCATTAAAACGAGACCTACTGGCTTCTGTTGCGCATGTTCGGCATCACTACGACAAAAATAAGCTTGATGTTATTGCACAAGAAAAAGGTTACGAGATTCTCCGTTTACCTCCATGCCATTGTGAATTAAATCCCATTGAAATGGTGTGGGCTCAAGTTAAACATCATATCAAAATGAATAACAAAACATTTAAAATAAAGGACATGGAAGAATTAATAAAAATGGGTTATTCACAAGTGACGGTTCAAAATTGGCAACATTATGTCAATCACGTGAAAACTATCGAAGATGGCATGTGGGCAGCAGATTATCTTCAAGATGATGTTGAAGAATTTATAATTCAAGTGTCGCAGTCATCTTCCAATGAATTTCAATTCGATTCCAGTGACTAATATGTATACTGTACATTTGTAAATTTTTGGGGACTTAATAAATACAAGCTGTTCTCGGCCACATTTGACAAACAATTACAATTTACCTTTTTGACTTCTGAGGTTAGGTTAAAAAGTAATAAATAGTGTCTAAACTACCGTTTTACGGTGCAGTAATCGATCCTATAATAAGTTTGGCAAGCATGTACTGTTTCTCCATAAGCCCCATACTGCATACTAAGGTGCGAATGGTCTATAGTTTGGGATGTTTCAAAGTTTGAATCGAGGTTAGAATCGAATGCACTTTGATTATGCATGGATCGTGTTACAGATTCGCTGTGAATGGCCTTCTGATCATCAGATAAGCTGACTGTTTCAATATCTTTATCTGCATTGCTTAAATTGGTACTATCATCCTCATCATCAGTATCATACATCCTTCTACGTTGACTGCGAGCTGACAGTAACTTAAACGGTAATTTCCTTCTCTTTGACATTGCAATTTATTCTTTGAATATACAGCACGACTATAACAGGTACCATGCAAGGTTATAAGTAACAGGAATCTAAAATTACACTTACCTAAATAGAGTATTGGAGTTGGCTTATGTAGGTAAGTAGTTATAATTCACCGGCGGAAAAGCACTCAAAAATTTAGCAACTAAACTAATAATAAAATGAATAAATTAATGGAGCACAATATAGCAAATGATACCACACACTTAAATTAACACGAACAAATTAAGGAACAATAAACCGTGTAGTAAACAATTCGTTGCAAGTGAGGTTAAGTATAAGACGAAGCCGTTAAGCGTTCTGCGCAGTGCGCACTGCACCAAGAGTGCGTGGTTCACAACACGTGATTAGGTATTCAACAACACTTTTTTTTAATATTTTAGAAATATTGCACCTGCATACATTTTTCACAAAATGTGTAAAAAATGTTTGCAAAATATATCTCCCAAAAATATTTACAGTAAAACATTTTTGTAATATATCTAAAACGTTTTTTGGAAAAACATTTTCCATATCAAGCTTATTTAAATGTTGTTACGTTTTTAAAACATTTTTCTAATGTTTTCTTGTTGACTGGCATAAATAACTATTTTCATCTATATTTAATGCATTGAGTATATTAATATAGTAATAAAGTGTAAAGTACTTACCAAAACAATAATTATTTCGCCACAGAATGATGCACTACTATCGTTGATACAAACAAAATTCAGATTGTACAGAATTCAGAAAACTGTTTACTCATTTACTCAACTCATGGATAGATGGCGCAAGTGGTTTTACCTCGGGTTTTACTCTTTGCATATTTTTTTAAAGAATTTGATAGGTTTTTAGTTAATTTTTTAATGCACCCCACAGCAGTAATGATTTTCATATGATTTTATTCATTTTTAAGTGTCTAGTAAAAAGAAATTTGTTTAAATTTTAGTGTGTGGGGGTCTAGTTTTTTTTTTGCTATTTTTTTAGGTACATTACATATACGTCGATTTTAACATTTTATGTACCGCATTATTGATAGAATTAATGATATGGAGTTTTTTACTGGAAAAATGAAAAATATTGCGTGTGGGGAATTAGTTTTTATGCGTTTTTTTCATGTTGATGTATCATGATGTTTGATGATTTTAAGTGATTTTATTAGCTCCCACAAGATTTGGTCTAGCAAAAAATCTTAAAATATTGCTTGTGGGAGATGAATTTTTGTTAGTTTTTTTGTGAATTTTGGGGTGATGTGTCATGATTTCTTGATGAATTTATGTGTTTTTTTACCTCCCACAAGATTTATTCTATGATATTTGACAGTGGTCACTAGGTTGCAAATGCTGCTTTTTTGCTTGTGGGAAATCGGAGATGAGTTTTTTCCTAGTTTTTATGCGTTTTTTGAGGTAATGTGCTTAGATTTTTTATTATTTTAGGCTATTTTTTTATAGTTTTAGGCGATTTTCTTAGCTCCCACAAGATTTTGTCTTAGTAGTAAATTAATGTTTTTAAGTCATTTTTTTGCTTGTGGGAGATGAGTTTTTGTTGGTTTTTTTCTATATTTGAGGTAAATACAGCTAGAATTTGAGGTAAATACACCTAGAATTTGATGTTTTAGCTAATTTTTTTAGCTCCCACAAGATTTGGTCTAGTAGTAACATTTTACTTAAAGCCCTTTGAATTTTCTGTCTTTTTATTGAGAAGTCTGATCGAAAAAGTACGAATTGTTTTGGATTCTACGCAACAAAATTAATAAGAAAAAGTGTTTTCCCGAGAAATTTTGGTGCAGTCGATTTTTGGTAAAAAAGGAAGGTTATATACACTGCCTTTTTTTGAGGCCCGAAAAAAAAATTGTCTCAGATCGATCCGGAAAAACATTTTTCTTATAGAATGTGGCCTGTAGAATCCATAATTTCAAACAGTTCCAAGATTGGGCTGCTAGTTCAAAAGTTACAGCCCTTTGAATTTTCTGTCGAAATTGGTTTCTAGTCTATAACTTTTTATTGAGAAGTCCGATCGAAAAAGTACGAATTGTTTTGGATTCTATGCACCAAAATTAATGAGAAAAAGTGTTTTCCCGAGAAATTTTGGTGCAGTCGATTTTTGGTAAAAAAGGAAGGTTATACACTGCCTTTATTGGAGGCGCGAAAAAAAAATTGTCCCAGTTCGACCCGGAAAAACATTTTTCTTATAGAATGTGGCCTGTAGAATCCATAATTTCAAACAGTTCCAAGATTGGGCTACTAGTTCAAAAGTTACAGCAGTGAAAATGTTGCTATAGTCGGTAAAATGAGTAAGTTCGCATATCGGATTAGCGCTTATATTCACAGCGCGCATGAGGTTATACATCTTTCCTTATTTAAAACATGACATTTGAGGTAGAGGGCAAGTGCGTATCTAGTTTTACGAACCGCGGGCGGTGAACTAAGAATTACACTGGACGTTACAGACGTTTAAAATGGAGGTTGTTGCAGCAAAAAGAGAAAGCAATAGTTAAGGTATGTTGGTCTCGGAATGGGAAACACCCACTTAAAAGCGACAAAGCCAGTCACTAACAAAAACTCATCTCCTACAAGCAAAAAAAATTACTTAAAACATGAATTTACTACTAAGACAAAATCTTGTGGGAGGTAAGAAAATCGCCTAAAACTATAAAAAAAATAGCCTACAATAATAAAAAATCTAAGCACATTACCTCAAAAAACGCATAAAAACTAGGAAAAAACTCATCTCCCACAAGCAAAAAAGCAACATTTGCAACCTAGTGACCACTGTCAAATATCATAGAATAAATCTTGTGGGAGCTAAAAAAAACACATAAATTCATCAAAAAATCATGACACATCACCCCAAAATTCACAAAAAAACTAACAAAAATTCATCTCCCACAAGCAATATTTTAAGATTTTTTACTAGACCAAATCTTGTGGGAGCTAATAAAATCACTTAAAATCATCAAACATCATGATATATTAACCTGAAAAAAACGCATAAAAACTAATTCCCCACACGCAATATTTTTCATTTTTCCAGTAACAAACTCCATATAATTAATTCTATCAATAATGCGGTACATAAAATGTTAAAATCGACGTATATGTACCTAAAACAATAGCAAAAAAAGTAGATCCCCACACACTAAAATTTAAACAATTTTCTTTTTACTAGACCAGTTCGTGTGGGAACTCAAGAAAATCATCTAAAACCGGCACATTCTGCCGGCTAATTCGTTAAAATCGGTGCATATTGTTGTGAAAACTTCCTAAGCCTGAAAATACCCACACAACTTACCCTTGCTAGCTCAAATCTCACACAAACCTTTAAAACATAAATCTCAGGGCCCGTAAAATGAGTCCGACTACCCCTTTTCTTCGCCCGGACAAGGGGTAGCAACCTCGCCAGGTCGGTGGCTAATACCTCCCTTAAATTCCAAACAAAATAATCCCTTGTTAACTGACTTCTGGAATGAAATTTAAGTCCCACCGATGATCTAAACCTTTTTACTTTACCAAACTCGTTTCACACTCGGGATAAAAAAAAGAAAACTTAAAATTTGAGAAACTCGAATCCTTGACTTTTACTTTACACACACAAATAATAAATGACAAAAAAAATTTAAAAAGCTGAATTTACAAAATCTGAAAAAAAATGACTGACATGAATTGAAACACAAAACCGTCTCAGACGGCGATTCTTACAATTAAATTAAAACAAAAATGACAGTACTCACGGTGCTAATCCTTTTTACAAAAGCACAACCGACCGAAGCACACAAAAAACACAAACACAGCCCCATCAGGTATGTGCTGACACAGCTACTCCAACAGCTCCTCGGCGATGCTGGCGTTAAAACAAACGTTCCGTCTCCTCCAGATGATGTAAGATACAACACAAACGAAAATGTTGCCGCTAAATTGGCGTTATCGTACCGCTCGTTTCCTCTCCAACAAACTCCTTCCAAAGACCTTAAACTCCTCGACGATGCCGGCGTAATCCACACGTTCCCGGACTTTCAAAATAACAACAAACGACGAATAAACTGGCGTAACTTTAGCAAACGCCGCTACAATAAACTTTTCAAAAAATCTTCACATACGACAAACGTAGGCTTTGCGAAACGGTACAATAAGCGCCTTCTCTTCGCTGTTCAAAACCATTTATACCCCAGTATCGTCAAATCTCGTTGGCACGCTTTCCCAAGAATAATTTGAATGTCGGAGCCGAAAAGGCTTAACGGTCGACTCCGCGGACCAATAGCAAAATTGCATAAATGAAACTATTACCGATCGTAAATCAACTTAGACTGGCACTTTTACGAGTTTTAACACGCCAAAATTCGTATGAAATTCGCTCTTAAACAACTAAAAGTTTCCTTATCTAAAGTAACACTTGTGCAAAGCGCGTGCACTCTGCTAACTTCCACGAATTTAACAATAACAAGACAAAATTTATTACATTTAAACACACTAATTACGGATTCGATTTTCTCAGACTTAAGCTTCTTAAAACAACGATCCTCTGCATAAAAATGGGAAATAAACTTCTTTCCAGAGTAAAATAAATGCCGTCCAACTGCGGCCTAATAAAAAACACAACATTATATACCTAAAGATAGAAAAAAACTAATTCCCTACATACTAAAGTTTAAATAAATTTCCTTAAAAACGAATAAAATCATCTAAAAAAACTAGTTTTATAACCCGAAAAAATACTCCCACTCACTTTAGAGACAACAAGGTTAAAAAAACTTGAAGAGGAATATTTTTCAAATATGAAAATAAACACTAAAAAAAATCAGCAAAAAGAGCATTTAATGAACAGATGAAATAAACTTACTATATTCAATCTATATATACACATCAATGGCAAAACTGATGTCATTAAGTTATGGAAAAGAGATACAGTTATTGATGTCTTTGTTATTTATTAAGCACGACATTGCTGCTTTGCCTTTATCACCACAGCAGAGTCCAATGAGAATGTAATTTTTTGTTTTTACTTCCTCCAATTTATTAATATAGGGCACTTTTTTGGCTTGGCTGCCAAAAAGGATTTCTTTCAAAGCCTCATAAGAAGAATCCTTGATTGCTTGAAGATCATCACCCTCAATATGCTTGAACTCCCAAATAACTACACAATCATCATTTTCCATGAACAGGTCGATAAATCCCGTTACTTTCTTACCATCCATCTGAATTGTAACAGGTTTCTCCATCTCGCAATATTTGAAGTCTGCTTTGAGCATGGTAACAAACATAAGAGATTGTATTGATCGTTCCTTCACCTTTTGTCCGCGGAACTTTGACAAAAGTTTTTTCAACTCCTCATAGAAAACACTTAAACTCTCTTCCTGTTCATCTGCAGATTTATCAGGTAGTGACTCAAAATATTCTGCACATTTATGCATTGACAAGTTACTAAATCCACAAACTTTCACATGGAAATTACTAAACATCTCTAGATACGCAGTAAGGACTTCAGAATTTGGAGCTTTCACTTTAACAGATCTGCTAGAACGATGGCTTGGATCAATGGAGAGATACCCTTGTTCCATGAAAAATGAGTAGACAAGTTGTTCTTGATTGTTTTCACCATTTAAAAAGTCAGCAAGATCCTTGGCATCCAACTTATCACAGGACATAAAAGAGAAATTTCCCCCTGTTGCTACATGAACCATTGTTTCCATTACATCATCATTTTTAAGAACTTTACCAAGTGCACTAATTATGCTAGAACTCGCCCAAAAATTGGTCTTTCTGATCTCAGAAGCGTTCAGTTCCACACGAAGTCGAAAGTAGTGCAAAACCGACCATAAACAGCACACAGCTTCAGTTTTAATATAGTATCCATTGTAGAGACCCAATATCTCTCGTTGGATAGAAGCTTGTTTCTCTTTTTGCTCAGGGAACACACTTTCAAGAAGCGTAGTAAGCTCTTCATGCCCAACACCATAATATTTAGCAAACCGATCATCATCTAGTAACCATTTGTAAAATGGTATGTTGTTAAGATGCTGAGAAATACCAATGCTTCCCAGATATGACACCCCCGTAATTAGTGATCCCAAGAGATGATTATCGGCCACTTTTCCTTTCACAACTGCACCAAGCAGGGACATTACTATATTGCTGATATCTTTTACTTCACCTCCACTTTTACCAGCCAACAGGGCGTTCACAGCAGGAGCATCAAACTCATCAACCAACAGGTACACTTTCTGTTTATGGTGAGCATGTAAATATTCAATCAATTTTTGCAAACCTATGGTTGGATCCTCTCTCATGTATGTATTCATACCACACCATGCTTCACAAGCTTCATATGCTGCTTTTACTTTTCTTGGTGAGTCAGCTAAACGTTCGTCCTTCATCAGGTATGAAAAATTCACATAGAGATCATGTACAATGCCTCTGAGACCATCCTTTACAGTTTCTTTGGAAGTGCAATCAAGGTCTTTTAAGTCCAGATACACAACTGGGTGTCTCCCAAAGTATTCTTTAACAAGTTCTTCTTCCTTTATTATCTTACATGGTGGTGACAGTCCGTATCTGCAAAATGCTTTAAAATTTTCGTATTCTTTCAGTTCTTCTAAATTCTTAGGTGCATAGCTTATGTCTCGACCAGCTACAATTTCGAAGAAGCACTTGACCATGTCTATATTCAGAGACTTGCCAAAACGCCTGGGCGCAAAAATAATCACACGACGTGGTTTCTTCAGCAATTCGGCAATAAAAAGGCTTTTGTCAACCCACCCTATCCACCTAACAGCTTCTCTGAAATTACCCTCATTTTCATCAAAGATAAGTCGTGTTTCCTTCTGTAATAAAATCAGAATGATTAAAATTACTACCGGTAATCGGTAATATATTATTATTATGAAGAACTTACTTTTTGAATGTGTGTAGTTCCATCACTATCTCCTGATGCATCCTGAGCTTCAGTGCTTACTTGAGTGATAGGATCAGATGAATAGGATGCAGTAGAATCCATCTTCAGCCGCTTACTCAGTGACATGTGGCTCAACTGCAAAGAGAGTAATAGGTATACTACCAACAAGGTTTTAAAATGTGAAAGGTGATATATGCCAAAGAAAAAAAATTGTTGCTAAATATAAGTTATTACAATCAATCACAAATATCATAATCTTAGGAAAACAGTTTCAGTTTGTACCCTCATTGCATTATACTTTTCTTTGTAATTCGGCTAGGTGACCGAGACTGGTGTATTGGTAGTGTTTATTAAAACCTGCAGTTTCTAGAACACGTAGCGTTTTATCTCTAAATTCATTCCTTTGAAAAAAAAAGTTTAAAATCATCACAGAATTTAATATCTTTAATAATATAATTTTATATTTATCATTAATGTTTTTGTTCCAACAACTAAATTAGAAAAAAAGAACACAATTTATTGATCAAAGGCTCTCAAAATTTCAAAGCTGCCTCAATCCGTTTTACTTTTTCTGGAAAAGTTAATTCTTGTTTTGATGTATTTCTTAAAATTAAATCTTTTTGGTTCTTGATGACATTGTTACTGATATGTTTTGGTTTTTGTTTGAGCTCTGCTTTGTTAGCTTCACCCTGAGAGATATAATGTTAAAATCGTCTCCACAGCAGAGCAAGCAACATAATCTTCCACTGCGATTACGAGGACTGACGATACAGCATAAAACAACACATTCCTGTAGCAACGACAATAGCTGTAGGTAATTTAGTGGAAAATCGTAGCTCATAATTTCGTTTGTAATTTCTTGTAGTTGAATTTAAAATTACCTACCCCAGTGAAGTCGACGAAAAAACGTTGTATGCAATTCATGTATAAATCAAAGATTATTGGTTCGTTCGAATTTAATCCACTCGCGCAGCGCTCGTGGACTAAACATCTCACTCACCAATAAAACGCCTCAGTCAGCAATAAAATATTTTCAAAACATTTTTTAAAATATTATTGCAATATAGCAAAAATGTTTTTTAAAACATTGCAAAAATGTCTTAATGGCCACAAATAGGTTGCAGTTGCAATATTAAAAAAACATTTAAAAAATGATACTAAAATGTTTAAAAAACCTTTTAGAAATAATATTCAAATATTAAAAAAATATTTTCAAAATGTTTAAACGCTTGTTATATCACGTTATAAAAATGTTTTTTAAATCACATCCAAATATTTTTAAAAGATTGCAACCATATTATTGCAAAAATCTTAGATGCATTCAAAAAATATTTATTTATTAAAATTTGTGTTATATGTAATTTATTCACATGATGTGTTTCCTTTTAGATTCAGGAATCTCCATTGCCATTTTCAGGATCCCTACAACGCAATGAGTATTAATTTTACATAATGAATATGTTGCATAGGTATTACATTTGGGTAGTATCTTCATTAATCGCGTTTTTTCTTAATTTAACCTCAAGAGCCCTATAATATAAAAATAAAATTCGAGCCATTTAATATAAAATGTTATGAAATATACCTTTTCATTCGTGTAGGTGCTTGTGCTAACCACAACTGGATACTTTTTATAACGTCTTGTTTTGATTCAGATGGATATTTTTTTAAGACTGCAGCTAAAATACATTAGATAAGATACCAAACATTGGATTTTGTATGAATAACAATAGCAAGCTTGTTATTACAATTTTAGTATTTAAATAGTGTGCATATACCCACAACTGCTTTTGCCAATTCCATTTCCTGAAATGCTTGTTTACTTTTTTGGCCCTTCCAACTGAAATTGGAAGCCACTTCATTGGAAATAACATAGGCCATAATCGAACCTACCATCTTCGGTACAGATTTGCCTTCAGCCTGATGCAACAATGTTTTTATCTAAAATACGAGATAGATTAGTATGATTTGATCAAAACATAAAATGTCTTAACACAACCAATTTATTATTATTATCTGGATTTTTTAATTGCGTCTCTATATTGTGGAGTTGCTCCTCATTTTTTATCGGAAAAAGAAATAATTCGTCGGCATCGTAGGATTCTTCCACAGTTGCATTTACTTTTTCATTAGTATTTTCCCTTATATGTTTCAAGTGGGTTTTCATTTTAGTCATATCAACTAAAATTACAATAAATGATAAAATAATGAAACATTCTGCGAGGTAGCTTACCTGATAATTTGCACAACTGTTGTGCAATAGAAAAGAGAAGATTATTCCCATCAAAAGTGCAGTTGTGTTTGGTTTTTATATCACAGTTCACATTCACATTCTCAAAAGCAGACAATGAAAATGTGCTGTGGGAGTGAACGACAGGGTCATTATTTTGAGCAGAACTTGAACTCGGATTTGAAGCCAGTTCAGAAGGTGGCAATGTTGTCCTTTTGTGAGGTGCGGGTGTCGAGGCTTGCTTATTGTATTTTACAGAAAATGAAGGTGGAACTGTAGGGTAATGCGATTCCTCCAATAACTCCTTAGAATTATTGCGGTTTCTTGGCGAATTTTCCTCTGAGTCACATTCACCATGAAACTTGGTTTCTTTTTTTTGGCGATGTCCTCTGCCTTTTTCGTCATCTGAAAATAATGGTGCTTTTTTTGCTGCTCTAAACATCATTTGCAGAGCTTTGTTGTAATTGCCTGTAATACAAAAAATAACAACCTGCAAATTTAAAACATTTAACGTACCAATTTCATTGTGTATTATTTGTATCTGCATCTCTTCCCAGGTTTTATCTGGCGAGGCATTACTTTTTACTAAAAACTTCACCTTTGATGCCTTTTCTTGGGGAAATACGCATGTAGTGTTGTTAACAATCCATGATGTTGGAATGACATCGTAATCATTATCATCATCATCGTCAATAAATTGTATAAGAGTCCACATTCTACAACAACAGTCTACATAACATATAGAATAAGATTACGTAGTATAGTCGTGCCTATTAATACTATAAAATATAAATGAAACTGGAGTGTAGCTAAATATCTCCAAAAAAAAGAAACAAAATCTAAATTAAACTGTGAGTAGGTATAGCTTAAGAATAGGTATGTAACAGTGGAAATGCTACGACAAAGTCCTTACGTGGCAGTGTAATATATTTTACAGATACTTCTTTAACATCAAACATATTTAATTGAGACAATTTCGAAAGTTTGTAGATATCTAAATTATTACTTTGACAGGGAACCCGATAAAAATAATTTTTTATTAAGTACTTAATCCTGAATTGGAATGAATGTGATAGTATCATCATCATCGTCAATAAATGTATACTAGTCCACAATTATACAACAACAGTAGCTGTTCCAAAGGTGCGTTCTTCGCCCTTACCATTCTCTTAATTTGCTGCATATAATTCTCGAATGGAAAAGCAGATATACTGTCTAAAGAAAAATCAGGGATTTTGCCTATAAAGTAATCAGCATCATCAGTCAAATGAATAAGTCCATGAAAGTTATGAGTCATCAAATCTGGACTATATAAAGTTTGCACATTTTTAATAAAATTAATTAGTAAGCACCTAGCATACTGTCTCTGATCTTTATCTTTGCATCTAAATGTATTGCACAAAATTGAAATGGCCACATGTAAGGTAATGAAATTGTTATATTTTTCAGGATCTAGAACGCCTTTTAAAACAACAGGGCCGAAATACAATAGAAACATTCGAAATTCTGTGGCTTTCCATCTAAGAACATATTTTATTTCTCTAGGTTTCCTCACAAAATCAGTTGGTGTATTTTGAACCAATTGTAATAAATTATTAGAAATTGTTGAAATATTTTCAAATGAAAGCCTGTGAGGTAAATCTCCAGAATACCATGTCACAATTAAAGTTCGCATTACCCCCAGACATACCAAATGCATATAGTCTAAGACAAAACCATTTACAAAATCTAAATTTGGTATTTTAACTAAAGAAGTGTCATGTAATCTGTATGATGGATCAATCCAATTAATAAAGTCACTGTTAGTTCTAGCAGCACAATTAGTTTCTAAAAAAATTCTTCTGTGGTTTCTCGTTTCTCCAACTACAGTACAACGTGTACAAGAAGAATAACCACTGTGTCCTTTAACGCCTAACACATCACTTTTAGCTGGAGCATCACACACAAAACCAATTATTCTTACAATAACATTTGTCATATTCAACAAACAACCATTTTGGATTAAATCTACAGCTTCAGTAACAAAGTCATTCAAAAACGCTGACATACTCTTAGGTTTTTGTAACCCATAATAAAAACCCAAGGGAAAAACTTGACCTTTCAATTGAACTATTGTTGGAATAGAAAATAAGATGGGAATTAGTTGCCCGGGGGAACTTTTAAAAAGTGGCAACCCGTCAATATTTATTAATAAATCTATTGTAGTGATGGATAACGATGTCAAAGGCTCAAAAATTACTTTTAATTGGTGCTTTAGGCCAATATGCACATATTGTCCCGGATCAACAGGCTTAGATGATAACAACCGTTTCACTTTTAAGAGAGTTCTTCCATCAGTTGGGAGACGAGAAAAACAAGAATGTTTTTTTAATCCCACAAGTAAAGAAGATAGTGCAGATGTTGTACAATTGGTATTCAACGCCCACTCTTGTAAAAAAATTGTAATATCTTCTAATTCGGTCTTAGGATTAGTATTCGATTCTACATCAAACAGACTAGCCGTACTGCTCTCTGAATCTGTAGATGAAAGCTTTAACATATTTGAAGATGGTGAACTTGATGAAACAGACGTAGCAAGAAGATTGGAACTATAGAGCATTCGCACCTTAGTATGCAGTATGGGGTCTTATGGACTATATCCCTCCTTTACTAATTTGCGTCATTCTTCAATAACGCTATCCTTATTCCTTACCGCAATGATGCCAAACTTACATATGATTGAATTTAAGCTTTAAAACAAAATATAACGTCAAATCTTCTTGTATTGTCATTACGTGTGTGGTTCGTTTTTGTCTTTCGTATTTAACACATTTTATTGTCTCATTGCTTTAAAAATCAAATCGTTCTTTTAAGAACGCCTCCATCTCGTACTTTATATACAAGGTAACTTTGAGTGTTCTTGTAGAACCGTTATTTGATTTCATCTTTTTAGAATATCCCATTAAATGGAAGCCGAAGCTGAAGCAGGATCTGCTAACGTGAAACGCCATAAAGGAGAGTGTTTTAGCCGAAAGGAGAAACACCTCATTATCAACGTGCTGAACTATTTCTCGGGAACGATGAACGTTACTGCAGCTGTGAAAGAAGCAAGTAAAGCTTTATGTTGTTCTGAACGGAGCATCTATGCCATTAAAAAGGGAGACGGAAACGAAGGTGTATCAAGCCCGAAAAAACGCAAGCAAAGAAAAGGGAAACAAAGCAATGATCGTCTTCATGTGTATGATGAAAATGTGCAATCAGTTATTCAACGTAAAGTGCATAACTTCTTCATTACAAATATTCCACCAACTATGAACAGCATCTTAGCTTCCGTAAATGACGATAACGATCTACCCAACTTTAAACGCCCCACATTATTCAATCTCTTGAAAGATATGGGTTTTGAATTTAAGAAGGTTGGCCGCAAGAGTATCCTTATTGAACGGGATGATATTATACGATGGAGACATAAATACCTACGTCGCATCAGGAAGTTGAGAGAAGAAGGTGCTTAATCTTTTTATTATATTTAATTGCAAATTACATAATATTTATATTTTAGGTAAATATATTGTGTATACGGATGAGTCATGGGTTAACATTGGTCATTCGGTGAGCAGGGCGTGGCATGACACCACCGTTGAAAGCAATCGTCAGGCATTCATCAAAGAACTCAGTACAGGTTTAAAATCACCCACTGGTCTAGGGCCTCGCTTTGCGTTAGTACATGCTGGTGGTGATAATGGTTTTATTCCGGGCGCGGAACTGACTTTTCTCTGCAAAAAGAACACTGCTGATGCACACAACGAAATGGATGCAGGCACTTATGAAAAGTGGTTTTTTGAACAGCTTCTACCAAATGTGCCACCGAATTCAGTCATTGTTATTGACAATGCCTCGTACCACAGTAGAAAGTTGGAGAAGATACCAACAATGTCGTGGAGAAAAGAACACATTATAGATTGGCTTCGTGAGAAAAATGTACCGATTGAAGAAAATCCATTAAAACGAGACCTACTGGCTTCTGTTGCGCATGTTCGGCATCACTACGACAAAAATAAGCTGATGTTATTGCACAAGAAAAAGGTTACGAGATTCTCCGTTTACCTCCATACCATTGTGAATTAAATCCCATTGAAATGGTGTGGGCTCAAGTTAAACATCATGTCAAAATGAATAACAAAACATTTAAAATAAAGGACATGGAAGAATTAATAAAAATGGGTTATTCACAAGTTACGGTTCAAAATTGGCAACATTATGTCAATCACGTGAAAACTATCGAAGATGACATGTGGGCAGCAGATTATCTTCAAGATGATGTTGAAGAATTTATAATTCAAGTGTCGCAGTCATCTTCCGATGAATTTCAATTCGATTCCAGTGACTAATATGTATACTGTACATTTGTAAATTTTTGGGGACTTAATAAATACAAGCTGTTCTCGGCCACATTTGACAAACAATTACAATTTACCTTTTTGACTTCTGAGGTTAGGTTAAAAAGTAATAAATAGTGTCTAAACTACCGTTTTACGGTGCAGTAATCGATCCTATAATAAGTTTGGCAAGCATGTACTGTTTCTCCATAAGCCCCATACTGCATACTAAGGTGCGAATGGTCTATAGTTTGGGATGTTTCAAAGTTTGAATCGAGGTTAGAATCGAATGCACTTTGATTATGCATGGATCGTGTTACAGATTCGCTGTGAATGGCCTTCTGATCATCAGATAAGCTGACTGTTTCAATATCTTTATCTGCATTGCTTAAATTGGTACTATCATCCTCATCATCAGTATCATACATCCTTCTACGTTGACTGCGAGCTGACAGTAACTTAAACGGTAATTTCCTTCTCTTTGACATTGCAATTTATTCTTTGAATATACAGCACGACTATAACAGGTACCATGCAAGGTTATAAGTAACAGGAATCTAAAATTACACTTACCTAAATAGAGTATTGGAGTTGGCTTATGTAGGTAAGTAGTTATAATTCACCGGCGGAAAAGCACTCAAAAATTTAGCAACTAAACTAATAATAAAATGAATAAATTAATGGAGCACAATATAGCAAATGATACCACACACTTAAATTAACACGAACAAATTAAGGAACAATAAACCGTGTAGTAAACAATTCGTTGCAAGTGAGGTTAAGTATAAGACGAAGCCGTTAAGCGTTCTGCGCAGTGCGCACTGCACCAAGAGTGCGTGGTTCACAACACGTGATTAGGTATTCAACAACACTTTTTTTTAATATTTTAGAAATATTGCACCTGCATACATTTTTCACAAAATGTGTAAAAAATGTTTGCAAAATATATCTCCCAAAAATATTTACAGTAAAACATTTTTGTAATATATCTAAAACGTTTTTTGGAAAAACATTTTCCATATCAAGCTTATTTAAATGTTGTTACGTTTTTAAAACATTTTTCTAATGTTTTCTTGTTGACTGGCATAAATAACTATTTTCATCTATATTTAATGCATTGAGTATATTAATATAGTAATAAAGTGTAAAGTACTTACCAAAACAATAATTATTTCGCCACAGAATGATGCACTACTATCGTTGATACAAACAAAATTCAGATTGTACAGAATTCAGAAAACTGTTTACTCATTTACTCAACTCATGGATAGATGGCGCAAGTGGTTTTACCTCGGGTTTTACTCTTTGCATATTTTTTTAAAGAATTTGATAGGTTTTTAGTTAATTTTTTAATGCACCCCACAGCAGTAATGATTTTCATATGATTTTATTCATTTTTAAGTGTCTAGTAAAAAGAAATTTGTTTAAATTTTAGTGTGTGGGGGTCTAGTTTTTTTTTTGCTATTTTTTTAGGTACATTACATATACGTCGATTTTAACATTTTATGTACCGCATTATTGATAGAATTAATGATATGGAGTTTTTTACTGGAAAAATGAAAAATATTGCGTGTGGGGAATTAGTTTTTATGCGTTTTTTTCATGTTGATGTATCATGATGTTTGATGATTTTAAGTGATTTTATTAGCTCCCACAAGATTTGGTCTAGCAAAAAATCTTAAAATATTGCTTGTGGGAGATGAATTTTTGTTAGTTTTTTTGTGAATTTTGGGGTGATGTGTCATGATTTCTTGATGAATTTATGTGTTTTTTTACCTCCCACAAGATTTATTCTATGATATTTGACAGTGGTCACTAGGTTGCAAATGCTGCTTTTTTGCTTGTGGGAAATCGGAGATGAGTTTTTTCCTAGTTTTTATGCGTTTTTTGAGGTAATGTGCTTAGATTTTTTATTATTTTAGGCTATTTTTTTATAGTTTTAGGCGATTTTCTTAGCTCCCACAAGATTTTGTCTTAGTAGTAAATTAATGTTTTTAAGTCATTTTTTTGCTTGTGGGAGATGAGTTTTTGTTGGTTTTTTTCTATATTTGAGGTAAATACAGCTAGAATTTGAGGTAAATACACCTAGAATTTGATGTTTTAGCTAATTTTTTTAGCTCCCACAAGATTTGGTCTAGTAGTAACATTTTACTTAAAGCCCTTTGAATTTTCTGTCTTTTTATTGAGAAGTCTGATCGAAAAAGTACGAATTGTTTTGGATTCTACGCAACAAAATTAATAAGAAAAAGTGTTTTCCCGAGAAATTTTGGTGCAGTCGATTTTTGGTAAAAAAGGAAGGTTATATACACTGCCTTTTTTTGAGGCCCGAAAAAAAAATTGTCTCAGATCGATCCGGAAAAACATTTTTCTTATAGAATGTGGCCTGTAGAATCCATAATTTCAAACAGTTCCAAGATTGGGCTGCTAGTTCAAAAGTTACAGCCCTTTGAATTTTCTGTCGAAATTGGTTTCTAGTCTATAACTTTTTATTGAGAAGTCCGATCGAAAAAGTACGAATTGTTTTGGATTCTATGCACCAAAATTAATGAGAAAAAGTGTTTTCCCGAGAAATTTTGGTGCAGTCGATTTTTGGTAAAAAAGGAAGGTTATACACTGCCTTTATTGGAGGCGCGAAAAAAAAATTGTCCCAGTTCGACCCGGAAAAACATTTTTCTTATAGAATGTGGCCTGTAGAATCCATAATTTCAAACAGTTCCAAGATTGGGCTACTAGTTCAAAAGTTACAGCAGTGAAAATGTTGCTATAGTCGGTAAAATGAGTAAGTTCGCATATCGGATTAGCGCTTATATTCACAGCGCGCATGAGGTTATACATCTTTCCTTATTTAAAACATGACATTTGAGGTAGAGGGCAAGTGCGTATCTAGTTTTACGAACCGCGGGCGGTGAACTAAGAATTACACTGGACGTTACAGACGTTTAAAATGGAGGTTGTTGCAGCAAAAAGAGAAAGCAATAGTTAAGGTATGTTGGTCTCGGAATGGGAAACACCCACTTAAAAGCGACAAAGCCAGTCACTAACAAAAACTCATCTCCTACAAGCAAAAAAAATTACTTAAAACATGAATTTACTACTAAGACAAAATCTTGTGGGAGGTAAGAAAATCGCCTAAAACTATAAAAAAAATAGCCTACAATAATAAAAAATCTAAGCACATTACCTCAAAAAACGCATAAAAACTAGGAAAAAACTCATCTCCCACAAGCAAAAAAGCAACATTTGCAACCTAGTGACCACTGTCAAATATCATAGAATAAATCTTGTGGGAGCTAAAAAAAACACATAAATTCATCAAAAAATCATGACACATCACCCCAAAATTCACAAAAAAACTAACAAAAATTCATCTCCCACAAGCAATATTTTAAGATTTTTTACTAGACCAAATCTTGTGGGAGCTAATAAAATCACTTAAAATCATCAAACATCATGATATATTAACCTGAAAAAAACGCATAAAAACTAATTCCCCACACGCAATATTTTTCATTTTTCCAGTAACAAACTCCATATAATTAATTCTATCAATAATGCGGTACATAAAATGTTAAAATCGACGTATATGTACCTAAAACAATAGCAAAAAAAGTAGATCCCCACACACTAAAATTTAAACAATTTTCTTTTTACTAGACCAGTTCGTGTGGGAACTCAAGAAAATCATCTAAAACCGGCACATTCTGCCGGCTAATTCGTTAAAATCGGTGCATATTGTTGTGAAAACTTCCTAAGCCTGAAAATACCCACACAACTTACCCTTGCTAGCTCAAATCTCACACAAACCTTTAAAACATAAATCTCAGGGCCCGTAAAATGAGTCCGACTACCCCTTTTCTTCGCCCGGACAAGGGGTAGCAACCTCGCCAGGTCGGTGGCTAATACCTCCCTTAAATTCCAAACAAAATAATCCCTTGTTAACTGACTTCTGGAATGAAATTTAAGTCCCACCGATGATCTAAACCTTTTTACTTTACCAAACTCGTTTCACACTCGGGATAAAAAAAAGAAAACTTAAAATTTGAGAAACTCGAATCCTTGACTTTTACTTTACACACACAAATAATAAATGACAAAAAAAATTTAAAAAGCTGAATTTACAAAATCTGAAAAAAAATGACTGACATGAATTGAAACACAAAACCGTCTCAGACGGCGATTCTTACAATTAAATTAAAACAAAAATGACAGTACTCACGGTGCTAATCCTTTTTACAAAAGCACAACCGACCGAAGCACACAAAAAACACAAACACAGCCCCATCAGGTATGTGCTGACACAGCTACTCCAACAGCTCCTCGGCGATGCTGGCGTTAAAACAAACGTTCCGTCTCCTCCAGATGATGTAAGATACAACACAAACGAAAATGTTGCCGCTAAATTGGCGTTATCGTACCGCTCGTTTCCTCTCCAACAAACTCCTTCCAAAGACCTTAAACTCCTCGACGATGCCGGCGTAATCCACACGTTCCCGGACTTTCAAAATAACAACAAACGACGAATAAACTGGCGTAACTTTAGCAAACGCCGCTACAATAAACTTTTCAAAAAATCTTCACATACGACAAACGTAGGCTTTGCGAAACGGTACAATAAGCGCCTTCTCTTCGCTGTTCAAAACCATTTATACCCCAGTATCGTCAAATCTCGTTGGCACGCTTTCCCAAGAATAATTTGAATGTCGGAGCCGAAAAGGCTTAACGGTCGACTCCGCGGACCAATAGCAAAATTGCATAAATGAAACTATTACCGATCGTAAATCAACTTAGACTGGCACTTTTACGAGTTTTAACACGCCAAAATTCGTATGAAATTCGCTCTTAAACAACTAAAAGTTTCCTTATCTAAAGTAACACTTGTGCAAAGCGCGTGCACTCTGCTAACTTCCACGAATTTAACAATAACAAGACAAAATTTATTACATTTAAACACACTAATTACGGATTCGATTTTCTCAGACTTAAGCTTCTTAAAACAACGATCCTCTGCATAAAAATGGGAAATAAACTTCTTTCCAGAGTAAAATAAATGCCGTCCAACTGCGGCCTAATAAAAAACACAACATTATATACCTAAAGATAGAAAAAAACTAATTCCCTACATACTAAAGTTTAAATAAATTTCCTTAAAAACGAATAAAATCATCTAAAAAAACTAGTTTTATAACCCGAAAAAATACTCCCACTCACTTTAGAGACAACAAGGTTAAAAAAACTTGAAGAGGAATATTTTTCAAATATGAAAATAAACACTAAAAAAAATCAGCAAAAAGAGCATTTAATGAACAGATGAAATAAACTTACTATATTCAATCTATATATACACATCAATGGCAAAACTGATGTCATTAAGTTATGGAAAAGAGATACAGTTATTGATGTCTTTGTTATTTATTAAGCACGACATTGCTGCTTTGCCTTTATCACCACAGCAGAGTCCAATGAGAATGTAATTTTTTGTTTTTACTTCCTCCAATTTATTAATATAGGGCACTTTTTTGGCTTAGCTGCCAAAAAGGATTTCTTTCAAAGCCTCATAAGAAGAATCCTTGATTGCTTGAAGATCATCACCCTCAATATGCTTGAACTCCCAAATAACTACACAATCATCATTTTCCATGAACAGGTCGATAAATCCCGTTACTTTCTTACCATCCATCTGAATTGTAACAGGTTTCTCCATCTCGCAATATTTGAAGTCTGCTTTGAGCATGGTAACAAACATAAGAGATTGTATTGATCGTTCCTTCACCTTTTGTCCGCGGAACTTTGACAAAAGTTTTTTCAACTCCTCATAGAAAACACTTAAACTCTCTTCCTGTTCATCTGCAGATTTATCAGGTAGTGACTCAAAATATTCTGCACATTTATGCATTGACAAGTTACTAAATCCACAAACTTTCACATGGAAATTACTAAACATCTCTAGATACGCAGTAAGGACTTCAGGATTTGGAGCTTTCACTTTAACAGATCTGCTAGAACGATGGCTTGGATCAATGGAGAGATACCCTTGTTCCATGAAAAATGAGTAGACAAGTTGTTCTTGATTGTTTTCACCATTTAAAAAGTCAGCAAGATCCTTGGCATCCAACTTATCACAGGACATAAAAGAGAAATTTCCCCCTGTTGTTACATGAACCATTCTTTCCATTACATCATCATTTTTAAGAACTTTACCAAGTGCACTAATTATGCTAGAACCCGCCCAAAAATTGGTCTTTCTGATCTCAGAAGCGTTCAGTTCCACACGAAGTCGAATGTAGTGCAAAACCGACCATAAACAGTACACAGCTTCAGTTTTAATATAGTATCCATTGTAGAGACCCAATACCTCTCGTTGGATAGAAGCTTGTTTCTCTTTTCGCTCAGGGAACACACTTTCAAGAAGCGTAGTAAGCTCTTCATGCCCAACACCATAATATTTAGCAAACCGATCATCATCTAGTAACCATTTGTAAAATGGTATGTTGTTAAGATGCTGAGAAATACCAATGCTTCCCAGATATGACACCCCCGTAATTAGTGATCCCAAGAGATGATTATCGGCCACTTTTCCTTTCACAACTGCACCAAGCAGGGACATTACTATATTGCTGATATCTTTTACTTCACCTCCACTTTTACCAGCCAACAGGGCGTTCACAGCAGGAGCTTCAAACTCATCAACCAACAGGTACACTTTCTGTTTATGGTGAGCATGTAAATATTCAATCAATTTTTGCAAACCTATGGTTGGATCCTCTCTCATGTATGTATTCTTACCACACCATGCTTCACAATCTTCATATGCTGCTTTTAATTTTCTTGGTGAGTCAGCTAAATGTTCTTCCCTCATCAGGTATGAAAAATTCACATAGAGATCATGTACAATGCCTCTGAGACCATCCTTTACAGTTTCTTTGGAAGTGCAATCAAGGTCTTTTAAGTCCAGATGCACAACTGGGTGTCTCCCAAAGTATTCTTTAACAAGTTCTTCTTCCTTTATTATCTTACATGGTGGTGACAGTCCATATCTGCAAAATGCTTTAAAATTTTCGTATTCTTTCAGTTCTTCTAAATTCTTAGGTGCATAGCTTATGTCTCGACCAGCTACAATTTCGAAGAAGCACTTGACCATGTCTATATTCAGAGACTTGCCAAAACGCTTGGGCGCAAAAATAATCACACGACGTGGTTTCTTCAGCAATTCGGCAATAAAAAGGCTTTTGTCAACCCACCCTATCCACCTAACAGCTTCTCTGAAATTACTCTCATTTTCATCAAAGATAAGTCCTGTTTCCTTCTGTAATAAAAACAGAATGATTAAAATTACTACCGGTAATATATGATTATTATGAAGAACTTACTTTTTGAATGTGTGTAGTTCTATCACTATCTCCTGATGCATCCTGAGCTTCAGTGCTTACTTGAGTGATAGGATCAGATGAACAGGATGCAGTAGAATCCATCTTCAGCCGCTTACTCAGTGACATGTGGCTCAACTGCAAAGAGATAGTAATAGTAATAGGTATATCACAATACACACACACCGGTATGCCAGTGCGCATCTGTGACGTCAGCTGGGTCACAAATCTTCAGAGCGGGAATTTCGTTTTATCTTTTAGTTTCTGCGAAATAACAACAGAGTTTTCTACAATTTAGGTATTGTTGGATATTATGTAGTGAAAGACTTATGCGGATACGACATTATAGGGCACTGGAATAACGTTAATTTGCTAATAATAATCCTATAAATAGAAGCATTTGTGCGCGGAAGAAATTTAATAAGCAATTAAGCACTAATTACAGAGTAAAATAATTCGAGATCTGTGTATGTTTTGCGTTTACGTATCAATATCAAGAGTATAAACGGAACAGTCTTAGGCTCGGTTTTACCATTCCGTTGTTAACTAGTAGTTGACATGACTATTAGTTAACGTCAACTAGTAGTTGTAACCCTCTATCGGTTTTACAATCATTTGTCAACCTGTAGTCACGTTGGCTGACAGGTGCTAGTCGCTATTACGTTGAGATAAATGGCCTAAACTCCGTACAATCTGCGCATGCGAAAGAAACGTCAAAGTTGCAATTAATTAATTAAATTAAAATGTTGAATGTAGGTTAGGTTAGGTTATTGTTTTCATCACAGGCTGTTATAATGAATAAACATATATTCGTAAATCGTAATGTACATTTAAACTCACAAACTTTTGACGTTGTTATACCAAGAGCCATGTTCCGCTGCGGCAGTATAAAATCCGAAAAGAGCAGTATAAGCCCCATGTTCACAAATCGTAACCCAAGACATTCCAAATACCTACGAATCGCTCATAAACCGGACGGCTACTACGGTGATAAAACTGGAACGCTGATACTGGCATAAATATACAAATTTGCTTTCCTACCGCCTCCAATAAGACAGCCCGATTGATTGTAGATGACAACCGACACATTAAATAGGCCGTCACGTAACTTCATTGTTCGTGCATTACATCAACGGACCCGACACTCACCGCTAGCACGAAGGAATGGGCCATCAAAACCAGGCTGTATAAGACCATGCACCAAGTCGTTGGCGTACGTGAACGTCATACGGTCAAGTCCCTGCATTCAATTTAATGTTTGCTACTTGTAGGTTTCAGTTCTTCGTACAAAGATGCCTTGCAAGCGGTCCGACAGAGTTTATGTGCGATTGCAAACCCGAACACAACGTCAGTAAGGTCACAAAGTTTATAATGTGCTCCCAAGATTGGTTTTGATGGCCCATTCCTTCGTGTTAGCGGTGAGTGTCGGGTCCGTTGATGAACAATGAAGTTACGTGACTGCCTGTTTGTGTCGTTGTCATCTACAATCAGGCTGTCTTATTGGAGGCGGTAGGAAAGTAAATTTGTATATTTATGCCAGTATCAGCGTTCCAGTTTTATCACGGTAGTAGCCGTCCGGTTTATGAGCGATTCGTAGGTATTTGAAATGTCTTGGATTACGATTTGTGAACATGGGGCTTATACTGCCCTTTTCCGATTTTATACTGCCGCAGCGGAACATGGCTCTTGGTATAACAACGTCAAAAGTCTGTGAGTTTAAAATGTACATTACGATTTACGAATATATGTTTATTCATTATAACAGCCTGTGATGAAAACAATAACCTAACCTAACCTACCTTTTTAATTAATAACATTGCAACTTTTGACGTTTCTTTCGCATGCGCAAATTGTACGGAGTTTAGGCCATTTATCTCAACGTGTGTTTTGATCACAGAGTTGTATATAAGTAAATAGAGAGGCAGTACATACGACCTGCGCGTGGAAAAATAACTCCAGCTACAGTGGCCGACTTTTAATGGCGGAGCCGTTGGGACTCATGCGCAGTGCGTGAAAGGGAATCAGCACGATTGTTGGCCGTTGGGTGCATTCAGTTACATAATCACAAAACAAAACAGCAATAACTTTTCAGATGCTTCAGATTCATTTGTAAATAAACAAACACTTTGGAGCAATAATTTAAGCATGCCCATTACATTATACTCTTTACCGCCATTTCAATGTTTAGTAGGCGACGATCTGTACATAAATAAAGCTTATTTTAAAATGCTCCTAGAAAAGTGCAAGAAAAGATCAAATATATGGGTGGAAGGAAAACTCTTCGCAAGCAATTGCTGAAACTTGGTTTTCGATACAAGAAGTGTCGGGACAAACGTAGGTTGGTAATGGAAAGAAGTGACATTGTAGTATGGCATCTCGTTATTTAAGAAGATTAAAAGAAAATGAACAACCTTCATTCATCCGTTATATACTTGGACGAAACCTATATTCACCCATCGTACGGAGTGAGTAAATGCTAACAATCAGATGAAGTATCGGAAGTTTATAATAGGGCTGGTCAGAGGTACATCGTAGTATGCTGGTAGTTGTTCTGGTTTTGTAGAGGATGTCGCACAGTAAATCGGGGGATTATTACGATGATATGAATCATACCAACTTTATGCAGTGGTTAGAGAAGCAGCTTATACCAAATTTACCAGCAAACTCACGCACCTTATCAATCAGTGTTCAAATAAATAAGCCACCAACAATGAATAATCGTAAGGAAGTGATACGTTCTTGGTTAGAAGCAAATAACATTCCTACGAGAAATGAATTTATTGACAATGTACAATTTATTGTGAACACCGGCAGTTCCGATGATGATTAGTGGTCAAGTGACGATAATGAATGAAAAAAGTTAAAGGTTGTGTGTTAATTTAGTCAATGTGAGTGTTATTAATTTCAATGTGATTGTTTCAATAACTGTCCATATTTACACAGCAGAAGTGCATCAGAATTGTAAATTGTGTTGAACATGAACATCTAACAATTTTAAATGTGTTTACGTTTTGTAGAAATAAAATTATTAATTTTACTGTTTCCCCTTGAAGTAATGCAACTCATATCGCGTGGCCCACTTATTTATATTTAGTAGAGTCAAATTTTGCATGAGAATGTACAGTCTAAATTTCCAACGTCCTAGGACACGCCCTGTCAGGAACCTTCTGAGCGTGGTGCCACTGTACATACCCTCTGCCGATGCTCCATTTTTGAGATATTTGAGTTATTGGCATTTGAAGTTTGTCGACTTTGTGGCTACCCGTATTCAAACTGTGTTTTCGGCATTGCACACTAAAATTTTGTCCCGCACCAAAATAAAATTTCAACTTATTTTATTCTTTCATTGCTTATTTTTATACTCACTGAGTGCATAAATAGATCTTTAAACTCGATCGCACGAAAAATATACGAATTCCTTTATACTAGAATCTCAAAAAATCTTTTCTCGATTCTGATGTTGTAAGCCCCTTACCAGCTTTGGATTGTAGTCTACTGTATTAAAAGTTCTTAACGATTGTAATGTTTCTTATTTATTCAAGACACAGTGTGAACAACATCATTCACCACACATTGAATTTCTTTTCAATTTTTGTTGCAATGAGAAACCATATTATTCTCAAGCCGAACCTGCTTTAAGGATCATTTAATTTGAAGCTGGTTCTGTTGTCGATTACTGCGCACACTCACCAACGGCCTGCGCAAGGTTCAATTGGAGTCAATTTTTCGCTACAAGACTGTCTCTCTATTTACTTATATACAACTCTGTGGTTTTGATTATCATTTCGTACGCGCTGTTCTAACCTAACATTCGTAAACGTGTTCTTATCAATTTTGCTGTTTGTTTGTCATTAAAATGAATATGATGGGCGTAAAAGAGCGGGGCAAAGTGTTTTCACCTGCAGAAGTAGGAATTATCCAGTTGCAAAAACCTGAGTGTCAACAGAAAGCAGTTCAAGGGTGATACTGCATGATTCCTGAAATAAGAAAAAAAACGGGAACGTGTTTGATTCATCCAAAATTAGATAACCTGTTTGTACGTGTTTCAATTTGAGGGCGAATAAGATTAAGAACAAACAATACTATTTCCTTTTTTAACCGAAATCTTGCAAAAATTTGCTTTTCATCCCATAATTTGTACTGGTCTATTCTCTCTCTTATCACTTTAGGCCTTCTACGAAGTGGCACTACTTCAATTTCTTCTTCTTCATCATTCGAAATAAAATCGAAATTGCAAAACATCACATACAATAATGGCGCAAAAAAATATTCAAACAAACAAAACACTTTAGAGGTTAGGACTACCAGAAAATCTGCTAGTCAATCATACTATTAGTCAACGCCATTTTTTTTCTTTGACTAGAGGTGGTAAAACGACAAAGTGACGGTCAACTGTTTGTCAAGCGTTGACTACCAGTCGACTAGAGGTGGTAAAACCGAGCCTTAAAGTTGTTGATTTTTGTGATCAAATCAAGGACAAGTCTCCAATGCGAGTTACGTAAATTATTTGCGATGGTAAAGGACACAAGAGCGGTTAAGAAAGGTTGTAATTATAGCATATCCATTGAAAAAGACACTAGTCAACAATATACGTTTAAATGAAATGGTTTCAACATTTGCTTTTGCGTGTAATTATACTTAATACCATTTTTTGTATTATATTTATTGTTAATCAAATATAAGTATTATCTTTGTTTGTGATATTGTATTCCTTTTTAAATTATACATTAGTGAACTTGACTATCACCTATTTAAACGACCCGTAAAACTTCAAAATGTTTATATTTTCCTAGTTAGAATACACATTCGCGCTAGAAAAATGAACCAGCTGACGTCATGCGCGCAGACGGCTAATTTTCGTTGCTCGATCTAGCATACCGGTGTGAGCGATTTCTGTGGTGTGAGCTCAGAGTAAGAAATAAAGATAGAGATGCCTTGATGCTTATCTATGCGTGCCATCATCTCGTTTGTTTACTAACATTGCAGGAGGCTAAGTTGTCACATTTCACGAGATAGTTTTTAAGGGAATAATAATAACATAAGCGTCTGGAGTAATCTAAATGGATTTTTAGATGCTTATAAGGGTTCAGTAACCCAAACAATTTTAACTTGCAATTAAACGGCGTAACAAGAAAAGTTATGGTGATTAGTGCACCACAGCGGCAACGCTGTAACTTTGTTTTCCGTTGAGAGGTATTTTGTTTATTTCGTTAAAACGTGATTCCTTAATTTTTAGGAGTTTTTATAGTGCAAGACTTATTCGAATTACGGTGTATTAATTTATGGGAGCGCTTTGAAATGGGGAAAAGCTGTATTACTTGTGGAATTATTGAATTACCTGACATAACCTTTCATCGGTATTTGTTTTGATGTCATAGACGTGCATACGGGAATTTTCGCATTTTAATGTGTTTAGATTTCCTTCTAAGTTCCCACTTTGAAGTATCACCATACCTTATCATAGATCAACAGGGACCTTTCAAACACACAGCTTTTGATCATAAATATTTAGTGATACGTTATTACGTTTGCACATGTAAACAAAACATAAACTTTGTTGCCCATAAAGATAAATAAACCCTACGCCACTGACACTGACTAATGTTTATTTTCTACCTCTCAACGGTAGATGTTGGTTCAAAACAAACGTTCACGTTGTTATAGGGTACGCGTACTCTATCTTTATTTCTTACTCTGAGGGTGTGAGTGTATCGTGGGTATAATACTACCAACAAGGTTTTAAAATGTGAAAGGTGATATATGCCAAAGAAAAAAAATTGTTGCTAAATATAAGTTATTACAATCAATCACAAATATCATATCATCTATATTTAATGCATTGAATATATTAATATACCTAGTAATAAAGTGTAAAGTACTTACCAACCAAAACAATTATTTCGCCACAGAATGATGCACTATCGTTGACACAAACAAAATTCAGATGGCACAGAAATCAGAAAACTGTTTACTCATTTACTCAACTCATGGATAGATGGCGCAAGTGGTTTTACTCTTCGAATATTTTTTAAAGAATTTCATGGGTTTTTAGTTAATTTTTTAATGCGCCCCACAGCAGTGATTTTCATACGATTTTATTCATTTTTAAGTGTCTAGTAAATAGTTATTTGTTTCATTAGTACAAAATGTCAGTTTTCGGGACGAGAAAGATAGTTGCTGGACGACGCGTTAGCTCGCTTCGAGCTACAATAATTATTTTTTTATTTTATTAATAATAATTATTACTCTACAAAGCGAAATAGGGGTAAAATTATCAATGGTGGCCAATATTGCACTCGTACAGTAATGTGTATAAGTTATAGCAAAAATAGATTAATAAAAATGCACATCTTCTAACAGCTGGTCAAATGCTGCCAGCTTACAGATTATTCCAGTGAGGGCGTTGCGTCCAATGAGCTAGCTCTTCTTGAATTTAAATCTGCAAGCGCCCCAATCACGATCTCTCAATTACCCCTGGCGTGTTGATTTAAACGTGTTACTATTTGACCAGCTGTGCATACAGCGTATACAGGGTGGTGACTTGCGTCACGCATCATAGGGATTTCAATGTAAAATTCATAACATGCGATTATTGGCTCCCCAAATTATTTTAGAGCAAAAATGTATTAAGGTTTTTTGTAGAAAAAAATTTTTTACGTCAATTAATCGTATTAAGTTTTCAATTTTTTACATAATAAAGACGGAAAATTGGAAAAATAAAACCCGCATCTTTTCAATAATCTGTGATGCCATGGAATTTTATAATACAAAAACCGCCAATATCCGTCATGCCATGGAATGTCTGCTATAAATCAAATCAAATTCTATCAAAAAGTATTATATTTAGAACAGCGAATTCGACATAAAGAAAGAACAAATTACTAGAAACGGTTTCCTAATATAACAATTTACAATAAATGTTCGAATAAGTCCCCATTAACTGCAAGACAGCAACCAAGTCGATCATAAAATCCATTTCGAACTGCTGCTAATTGACAACTGGATATCTTTTTGTTTTAGAAAATTCCATGGCATCGCAGATTATTGAAAAAGATGCGGATTTTATTTTTCCAATTTTCCGTCTTTATTATGTAAAAAATTGAAAACTAATGCAGTTGATTGACGTAAAAAATTTTTTTGTACAAAATACCTTAATACATTTTTGCTCTAAAATAATTTGGGGAGCCAATAATCGCATGTTATGAATTTTACATTGAAATCCCTATGATGCGTGACGCAAGTCACCACCCTGTATAGGAAGATACCTACGTATCTTTTCTAATCCATCTTTGGTTATAACTATAGCCAGTCAAAGCTAGATACAACAAATAAAATCTAATAAGCTATGCCCTGTTATGAATTTCAGGATTCTATGAGTACAGTACCTGTAAGCAACAGGTAGCCTACCTGACCTATACGTATGGACATTGGAGCTAATGCACCAGTGGTATTGGATAGCCTATGATATCGAATGAACAACCTTAGCTGCAGACCGCTTTAAAACTGGGATATATAATCTCGACTACACCAAGAATAAACTTGACAAGTTGGCTGATACATGATTGTCTTTGCTTTTGTTAGTTACCGTACTGTAATAAAATATGAATAGGCTTAATGTTACATCATGTAGCTACAATCTGATTAGAGAAAGTTTAAATAAAGTACTGTATTTGCAAACGTTTTTAAGTTTTATTTTGAGTCTTTAATTAGTATATTATATAAATCCTTATTTTACAATAATGTGTTACTCTCTAAAAATAAGGGGAGGAGGGGTTGAATGGCAATACATTGGCAAGCTCTCTAATAGTCTCGGTTTCCCAGCCGCTATATGATATTGTGTTCTCTAATGAATCTAATGAATATTATATAATATACAATATCCGGTATAACTTAAGCTACGTAATATTATTATTTAATATTTTGCTGCTGTTTCAATTTTGAATTTCCTGCATTTAGCAATATAGCCAGCTATGGCATTAAAAGTATAGCCTAATGGCAAGCTCTCTTCCTCTTGATCTACTGAATATTATAGACGAATATGATATATAAGCTACAACAAAGGTACTACTGTTTAATACTTTGCTGCTGTTTCGATGTTGAATTTACTGCATTTAGCAATATAGCCAGCTACTGGCATTAAGAAGTATACAGTGCTGTACCTTATTATATTGGAATTGTTAAATTTATTTAGTCTATAGCTAATTTATGAATTATTGCTTTATTTAATACATTAATGATCATTTTTAAGCTTTTGTTACTGTAATCCATTTTATAACGGCATTTTTATAAATATTTATCATATCATCTTGCCGAAATTCGTATTGAGCTAATGTTAAAGGCTAGCGAAAAATGGCGCCCACACACCTCTTTAACACACGTCTATGAGCTTCGCAGCCTTAATCTTACTGACCTTGTCGATTTTAACATTTTATGTACCGCATTATTGATAGAATTAATTATATGGAAAAATGAAAAATATTGCGTGTGGGGAATTCGTTTTTTTTTCAGGTTGATGTATCATGATGTTTGATGATTTTAAGTGATTGGTTTTTTCCTAGTTTTTATGCGTTTTTTGAGGTAATGGGCTTAGATTTGTTATTATTTTAGGCTATTTTTTTATAGTTTTAGGTGATTTTCTTAGCTCCCACAAGATTTTGTCTTAGTAGTAAATTAATGTTTTTAAGTCATTTTTTGCTTGTGGGATATGAGTTTTTGTTAGTTTTTTTCTATATTTGAGGTAAATACACCTAGAATTTGATGTTTTAGCTGATTTTTTTAGCTCCTACAAGATTTCTTCTAGTAGTAACATTTTACTTACAGCCCTTTGAATTTTCTGTTGAAATGGGGAAATCATCAAAAAAGAATTCAAAAATTTGCTCATAAACATATTTGTTCTGAAAATCATAGTTATCTTAGACAATTAAAAACAAAGCATTTCCTGTGGTATGTAATTATAATTAGCATCTTTGCGTGTGCTTTGTGCGTATCAAAATGGGTAGCGACAGTTCAGATACCCCGAAATGAAATTCTGGAAGCTGCAAGCGTTGCGACCCTAAGTCATATATGATATAAGAGCAGGCGTTTGAGAGTAAAAGTACAATCGCAACTTCCTCCGTTGCACAAGATTTTAATAATGTCAAATGCAATACGTGCTTCGTAACTGTGGCTTCCAAAACCTTATAGTTAACATCCTGTACAATATTAGAAACCTGATTACCTACTTTGATGGTAGGTATAGGTAGCTACTTGTGTTCTCGGTTAATTGCTGGTGATTCTTCGTATAATAATGTAAGCAATAACATCTTCCTCATGTTTTGGTTCTAGACTTCAAAATGGTCTGCAAGCAGCAAAGATTGAAACGTCAAACTATAATTTTAAATGTGAACATTGTGATTATGCAAAATAATGCGAAACATTCCTATAAGTCCGAAAATGAAAAAAAACGCACCTGGATGGCCCAATCCTTGATGGGGCTAGACCAGATAGACGCTTTGTATCAAACAGATTACTGTTTCTCACACATCAGTTTCAAATAAGTACAGTTTGACAGATGTGTACAATAAAGTAAAGCTTGACAGAAGCGTACAATAAAGTGAAACTTTATGGCCGCAAAAGCGAGCATAAAATCAACGTTTTTGTGATGATAGCCTAAAAAAACATTTTCTTATAGACTGTGGTCTGTAGAATCCACAATTTCAAACAGTTTGAAGATTGGGCTACTAGATCAAAAGTTACAGCTCTTTGGTTGGTTCTACTTACTCAATGCGAAACTAGGCTAGCTGTCACTTTTGTGAGCTATATCCTTGGCGTGTATTTATACACACGTCCCCTACTGGGGCACCATGGTGAGTGGGGAGCTAAAGGGATGAATCTACTCTTCCTAACATGAATTAAAATTTTAAGAAATACAGAAGACGCTGTCTAAAACTAGCATGACCTGAAAGCAACCATCCGGTAGGCCAATGCCGGTTCTCCAGCTTGCTGTATCCACTCATAACTCCATACCAAGGTCAAATGGGACTTGATCATCACAGAAGCAATTCACCGTTTGACGCGATTTTGTACAGGATTATCAAGGAAATACCTGCGCTTGCTCGTAGGCATACCTTCTGGACACTATTAATTAAATAAGCACAAAACACGTCCCTGTAGAGGTTGCAATACAGACGAGAAAATAGCTCACAACATTCTTTCCAAGTGTCCCACGCTCGTCCAAATGAGAGTCTATGTCGGGGAATCATGGCGTGGGGTGCTTTTAGTGACACTGGAGACAGACGACTGAAAACATGGAGGCGCCCCGCTCCAAATCGAGAATTCGGACCTCGATTATTTTCAAATATTTATTGATAAGAGACTTTTTTACTGACAATTTCTATAAACTAAATTGCTAAATTACTCGTATTATAAGAAGGCAATACTTAATTACCTATATTAGTAGAATATTAAGACAAACTCTGACAGCCACTCTCAAAATTGAGAGATTTACTTAAAAAAAAGACTGCTCAAAAAATGGGGTTAGTTGAATGATGGATCATGGTCAAAGTCATGTATGCGTCTGACTTCGATAGAGGTAAATTACGGTACAACTTAAATATTATTTTTTAAAATATCACTCGGTAGCTGCTGATTGCAGATCGTTTAATTTTTGTTTTAATGGTAATAAAATGGTATTACTCTCTACATACTAATACTCAATATTCTATTCTATAACTGTAATTTACCTCTAATGTACACGAAAATATAAATGTCATCTAAACTATTACGGATCACAACGATGTGTGCGTGAAGAAATTCCCTCATAAGCTGAGCGTACAAGTATCATTCAATTCAAACAAAGTTAAGTATTTTTAGTTACATACTAAGGTATGTATTTTATCCCGCAGACCAACAATTTCATAAAGTTGTCCCTGCACCACAATAAAACAAAATAAACCCTGATTTACACTTTTAAAGCACAAATAATTTAAGTCAAGGCAGTTCCGATTTACAACTTCTGTATATATGCACTCGAATTTAAAAAGTAATTCAAAATAAAAGTTCCCTTAACTGTAAGAAATATCAAAAATTTTTTAAAGCATTATTTTTAAACAGCGAACGTTTTACATTTGCAACAAAACAGTTGCTCGTACACTATCACACTTCTTATGAAAAACGATCGGATGATCAATGGCAAAGCAAAGCTCGCTCTTTTTAGATATTAACAAATCAGTCGACTTCTAGAGGATACTACATCGAATCTGCTTAAAACGGCCGTGGCCCGGTATTCCAAGTTTCGGCGACTTGTGCTTCCCTCTACTCGCTTTGTCCTTACGAATCTCTCGAACTAATGTATAAAAGGCATCATCTACACCCATTCTAGTCTTCGCCGAAGTTTCCACAAACGGTATGCCGTACTGTTTAGCGACCTAGAAAATAAAACAAAATCAATTCAAAGTAAATTCCACAAGATTTATCACCAATCAATAAGTGCCTAGTGGAAACCAAAGCCCGAGTTTTGATGTGACAAGTCTTGCACAACATAGATTTGAAGTATAGTGTGAAGGTTAAATTTTGGAACAAACGTAGATCAGACAAGGTGAAAAAAACGATTGTGTTGCTTTTGTGTTGGCAGTTCAGGTGTTTTGCATTGAAAAGTAAAACAAGTGCAAATGTGCCACTGCACATATTTACAGTACATTCATTCACTTGGCATAAATAAGTAGTTAATTAACATTGTGTAGAGTATTCATTTATAAGTTATAGCTTCAGAATAAAAAACTTTTTTTCCCAAAAACAGTTTCAGCGCTAAATTTGTTACTACTCTGACATTAATCAAAAGTTCTATATAAAAATGGAAATGTTATATTAAAATACAATTTCGGGTAATACAAAGCTCGTGAGTAAAATGACATTGCTTGACTCGGAAATTGAAATACTCGCCCCAAAGGGGCCTCGTACTTCAATATTTCCTCGTCAGTAATATGCCATTTTCTTAACTTTTATGTAAATAACTACTACATAGTTTTTAATAGTTATTTACATAAAAGTCAGGAAAATTACACATTACTGGCGAGGAAAGATTGAAGTACAAGGCTCCTTTGGGGCCGCGTACTTTAATTTCCGAGTCAAGTAATGCCATTTTACTGACGAGTTTTGTATCAAAGTTTACCCAAAATCGTATTAAAATAATCAAATTTCAATTTTCATACGGAACTTTTGATTTATGCCAATCTGTCAATGATGACAGGAGTCATTATAGACATTTAGCGTGACAAGTGCGGCAGGAAAAGTGACAGGTGCGGCCGGTAATTTGACAGGCGGCAGGAAAGTACACTGAGAAAAAAGTCTGGTTATAGTTAAGAAAGGGATTTATTTGGCTGAAATTTATTTATCATAAACCTTCCATATTTTTCAGAAACGTGCTATTTTAGAAACTAAGAAATCCAATTGTTATTATTAAACTAAATATTCATTTGTAAGTGTTTAACAAATCTTATTAATAGTGATGGTAATTAACTACCAGAAAAACAATATCTTAATATTTAACTTTGTTCGATATCATTAAGCATCGGCGCTAACTTATCTCACTTCCCTTGGGAGCGCATATAATAAAATTGTATAACAGTTGGACTGTCGACTGTGCTGTTCTGTGTGGCGTCTTTTTTGTTATATTTATATAGTTCGTGCACCTTCAATTCAAAATTCCTATACGGTGTTGTTGTGTGTGTAATTGCTGTGTTACTAACACCTACGAGTATTAAAACCACTGAAAACCGTGTAATGGTAAGTGCGAAATCGTTCCCTTTTACCTTAATTTAATGTTGTGCAATTTATTATCAGGTAGTGTGAAGCACCTAATTATAACAATGGCAGATAGAGATACAGAAATGGACCTGGATGAAACATTACAAATCATCGGTATTGGAGAATTTACAGCCCTCTTTCAAGGTAATAATGATTCATTTATTTATTGCAAATTTAAGTAGGTATGTACGTGTTCATATTACAAGTGCTGTGCTTGGCTGCCTACAATATTTATTGGCGTCATTCATCATTGGCGAGATACATAGAAGTATATTTATTTAAAAGAAACGTTTCTTAATAGTTAACATCTTAACTGTAACCCTAGTTCTGATTTATTACTACCTAACGCAGTTATTTTTGTCTTAATAATCATTCTTGTTATTAAACGAAATTTTTTAATCATGAAAAATTGTAGGTAGGTGGTAGATACACAACATGGTGTACTGCCATTTTATAATTACAAGATGTCTTAAGTCCGTGAAAATTACTATATCACCAATAGGTAAACCAATTGTATATCACTTTTACCTTCTACTTAAATAGCCACTACTTTCAGTAAATTGATATTATTATGTTTACCTAACTTTTATACAAAATCCACTAAAGTTTCTGTATCTACTTAATCGCTTGATTTATTATACAGTATCTATAGATTTTTAGATTAATCAATTTTTTTTCTGTTTTCGAACATCATACCTAACTTAATATTTCCTATTAGGTACATAGTTATTTACCTATCTATTGTACTGTTGCAGATTATAAACATTATGTCATGCTATCCTTGATGGGTTCGCTGCTTCCATATAAATCCAGGCATGTATTTGGTAGTAAGCAGTGGAAACCAAAAATAGCAGACTGTAAGGAGGGAATTGTTTTAAAAGTAGAGGTGGGTTTACCTATTATATTCTCCATAATTTCAATTCAATAATGTGGTATTGTGTTTTTATTTTTTAAGCTGCTAAATAGCAATTGCACTTTATTACTATACTGTTTTTTTAGCTGGCAGGAGATGTGGAGACAGCAGTTGCCACGAAAATTGAGAAGTTGCAATCTGTGGAGGTTCCATTTTTTAATTCATTACACAAGTATCATAGAACGTGTTGGACCTCTTTCTGCTTTATCATCAATTAGATATGAAGCATTCCACAAAATAGGAAAAACAAATTGTCACATTGTTGCCTCAAGAATAAACATACTGAAGACGTTATCAATAAGGTACCAGCTTCGCCTTTGTTACCGACTTCAATTTAAAGTAGGGCTACATAATAATTTCCAGTTTGGAAAAACTATACCCTTAGGAGAGAATCATAATTATTTTTTAAAGAAGTGTGATGAGGAGCCTTTCTTTGAGGTTGAGTGGTTTAAATTGAATGGAACTAAATTTAGAGTTGGTTGTGCCATAATAGTTCCTGACCATGAAGAAAATGAACTTCCAACATTCGGTATTGTTAAATCAATTATTTGTACTCAAAAGGAAAAGGTGTTCTTTTTCTGTCTAGTTATAAGTGATGTACTGTTGCACACAGATAGCTGTGCTTATATATTAAATACCTACTGTTTCCCACAAATTCAAATACTATGATATAACTCATATTAAAAAGTTGCGTTCATTTCAAATACATTTAGTCCCTGGTGGAAAGACTGTCGTAAATATGTTTAAAATATAGCTTTAGATTCTAACATAACATCGAACTGTATTTGTACTATGGCCTGTGTGTTGCATATGTAGTAAATTAATGCATAGATTTTCATTTGCGTTTGGCTTAGTTATACATTTTACTAGTACAGAACAATGTCCATTGCCAAATCGTTGTGAGTTACTATGCGTGAAAAAGTTTAGCCCCCCATTCAGCATTGTTGTTTGGGTACATTTAACTAATTTTGGAAGGGGGGCCAAACTTTTCGCCCGTAACTTCCGGCTTTATGACGTCATCAAGTTGGAAGCTTCCGTTACACGGGAATATTGCCGTATCTCCATAACTACTGGTCCGATTCTTGTCATCTTAGGCTCTTTAGAAAGATAATAAAAAACGGAACATATTATATTAGAACACTTATTTACGTTAAAGATCACCGTTACCAAGATATGGACAAAAAGCGCCCCGAGCAGGCGAATTTCAAGTACATATTTGAAATTAGTGGAGGAATCATTAAAGATAGTAATCATTGATATGAAATGAAATATAGTGCGTTTTCCACCCTTTTAACGAGTCTGAAAACAAGGAGATTGGTTGAGAAGTTACCGAGATTATATTAAATTTATTATAATAAACAGGAAATAATCGGAGTCCGTCTGGGGTGTAATAATTGTAGATGAGAGTTTAGGTGCCAATCAGATGATCGGCGCGACAGAACAATATTCACATTACGCGTAGGGACATCCGGACATGTCCATCTTGTTTTAATATCGTAAATCAGTTTAATGCAAAGATTTTGAGGATTTGGTTGAAGTTAATACCTACAACCAGAATATTTAGGAAGGTAAGTTGGTAAATAAATACTAATTAAAATGAATTACAATAGCATAATTAATGTGAAGAGCGGAATACGAACTGATTAGGTTCATCGTTTTACAATTAGTGAAATTGGTTCCGGTTTACTGCTTTTTTTTTCTCTAAATGCTCTCAATCCCCTCTTATGCATGCAGGTATAGTGCTCTGCACTTCACACACTACCGAAATGCCGTAAAGTTCGTTCCTAGTGAAATACAAAAGTTGAGTTGGTAGTTTTTTTAGCTCGTCATATGTTTTGCAGATATTATGGACTATGAACGGTGTATAATATGCCAGAAATCGGATTCTGAAGACCTCCGCTGCCCTGCTGCAGATAAGAATACTTCCAACGTTCCTGAAATATATAGAGCCTTCATCGCTGACTGGGAACATGTTCCTAAAGTCGGAATATTCATAATGAATGAGAAGAGACCCTTATCGGAAGCAAACGTGGAAAATCTTTTGTCTAGGAAAGCCAAGTGGCATCGAAACTGCCGGCGGGAGTTCCGTGCAGATAGAGTAAACCGAAAATTGAAAGCAGAGAAAGAGAAAGGTGTTCCGGATCCTAAAGCTTCCGCTGAGTCTACAAGTGCACAATCAAGGCGCAGTAGTAACAGAAAAACCGCAGCACGTGCGGTTCCTGATAGATGTGTGTTTTGTGACGAGCAGGGACAAATACATAAAGTTCTTCATTCTTTTCAAAAGGTGGAACTGACCGATGAGCTGAAGAAAAAAGCAATTGTACTGAACGAAGACAATGTTTTAAGACAGTTATCATCAGGAGACGTCGTAGCTAATGAAAGTACCACAGGTATTGTTTGGTAAAGTTTAATCGCCGTTTTGAAGCTTCATCGTCGAAACCAGATGAATCCGGAAATGACAGCGCTTCTATATTAAAGATGGGCAAGGTTCTTGAAGAAATTCTTGCGATCGTTGAGGAAGATCTAGCAGATGGCCGAACATGCTTTAGTATGAAGGCAATTTATGAAGAAATGGTAAGGAGATCCGAATTTTATGAAGTACCACCAATGAACAGAACCAGGCTCAAAAACATAATCCTGGAAAGGTTTTCCCCTGCCTTAAAAGAAACGACAGGGTTTCGAAAGGAGGTAGTTATAATGTGCAGTGCAGCTATGAAGGACGTTGTAGAATCCACTCTCCATACCAAGCCTCCTTCGGATGAGTACCGTACCCTTTCTAAAGCAGCTCTGATATGTCGTAGGGAGATGTCAAGGCAATGTAAGTTTGACATCTTGAAAGATGGCTTTTCTGTTGACTGTCAGAAAGAATCTGTATGTGAGAGCTTAAAGTTTCTCTTAGGTCTAATCATGCTAGGCCCTTCCCATGAAAACTTTGAGAATGAACAGTCTACGCTCTCAGTTGCCCAGATAGTATGTTTCAATGCAATGACCAGACAAAACTATGAGACTCCGTTGCCAGTTTATCTTGGCCTTTTAGTTCACTCGAAATTCCGAAGCAAGTATCTAGTAAATGAATTGAACCGCTTAGGTTTGTCAGTGAACTACAGTCGAGTGCGTTATCTTGAACGTAAGATGGGTCAAGATGTGTTGCATCATTTTGAAACCGAAAATATAGTATGTCCATCTGAAATGCGACATGGTCTCTTCACAGTTGGAGCGGTTGATAATATCGACCATAATCCTTCATCGACGAAATCTAAAGGATCTTTTCATGGATCTGCAGCATCCCTTTTTCAACTAAGACGACTAGAAGATGAAGGCGTACGAAAGCAAGATATGCTCACCAAGTGACTTACGTTGCCCTTCGAATACTTCTAGAAGAAGCTCATCAAGAAATATCACCTGAACTAAGTCTCGATAAATGGATAGAAAAGGTACGAAGTAATCCAACATTTGCGTATTGGATGCTAGTGCTAAAATATGAAGCTCTTCTAATGACCTTTGTGCGTGCTCATCGGCAGGGCAACTTTCTACTGTATGTTGAATGTTTACAGGGTCTCGGAGAGTTGTTTTTTGCCTTTGATCACTTCCACTACGCTAGATGGGTTCCTGTCCATGTTGAGGACATGAAGAGATTACCGCCATCCGTCCTTCAAGAATTTATGGAAGGCGGATTTGCAGTTAACCGATCGAAACGCCGCTTTTCGTCCATTGCAATAGATCAAGGCCATGAACAGCTTAACAAGGTAATCAACGGTAGTGGAGGCATCATTGGTTTGACTCAAGATCCCATATCGATGTTGAATTGGTCCGTGTGCGGACCTGAAGTTAGTAAACGTTTAGAGCAATTTAAGTTTACCTCTAATGCCGAAGAAGACGCTGATCAAGACTATGATTTTTATCACCATGACGAAAGAATTAAGAATCAGGGCGATTTCTTAGATGACGTGGTAGCGATTTTGGTTCATCACTTTAACCGCTTCACAGCAAATGCTGAAGGTTGCCGGATAGTTGTGAACTTTGGAACAGGAAAGAACAGGAAACTGCTTGATGTGGAGAGAATGTTCAAGGCACTTGGACCACATCGAAGTATGGCTCTTCCTTTATGGGTTACAATAACTGGCTGTGACTCGACATCCTCAATGAGAGGCAGATCCAAGAGGATGTGTTTTAATGCTTGGAACAAGTGTGAACAATTCGTTACTGAGAAAATGGCTGAACTTACCAGACGACCATTTACACAGCTTGAACTGGAAGGTGATGATTTCAAAGCGTTGGAGTTGTTCCTCGTGAAAATATACGGGGATGGAGCTAAATCAATAAACAAACTGAGGAAGCAAATATTCTGCCACAAAAACCAAAACCCAGAAATGCTGCCCATGACACAAAATGCATTCCTCCAGCACTGCAAACGTGCAGTTTATCAAGCAAGCATTTGGGTTTGCGCAAATCAGTCTGAAATTAAGGCTCCGGATCCTTGTGAATATGGCTGGAGGAAGGAAGACCAAAGGCTTCTCCCCGTGTGGATGACGACCCCGCCGGTTAGTAAAGCTTGTCCAGCTGCGGTTGTAAAAGAACCTGTGCCAAAGCATGCAGCTGTAAAAAGAAGTCACTGAACTGTACGGACCTTTGCAAGTGCAACTGTACTCAAAATTAGCGTGGAAATTATACAGTACTTAATTATATCTAAGGTCCTTGTAATTAGACGCGTTAAAAAGGGTAGAAAATGTACTATATTTCATTTCAATAAATGATTACCTACTATATCTAACGATTCCTCCACTAATTCCCAATAAGTACTTAAAATTTGCCTGCTCGGCACGTTTTTTGTTCATATCTTGGTAACGGTGGTCTTTAACGTAAAGAAGTGTTCTAATATAATAGTTCCGTTTTTTATTATCTTTCCAAAGAGCCTAAGATGACAAGAATCGGACCAGTAGTTATGGAGATACGGCAATATTCCCGTGTAACGGAAGCTTCCAATTTGATGACGTCATAAAGCCGGAAGTTACGGGCGAAAAGTTTGGCCCCCCTTCCAAAATTAGTTAAATGTACCCAAACAACAATGCTGAATGGGGGGCTAAACTTTTTCACGCATAGTAACTCACTACTACCCATTCTTCCGTTACTATTTGAGGTTTTAAATATTAGGGCATCCATAAAACCCTTAAAAAAACTACCATAAACTCGGCTAAATCGAGAAGAGTACCTAGTCACTTCCAAATCTTCTGGAGTTTACTGTGTTTTGTGCCGTTGAAAAATCTAATGATTTTGTGTTCATTGTATATCAAGAAAATTGGAATTGGAATTTTGGAAATTTTACGCGTAATGTGTTATGTTGATTCGGCAACCCGGGAAGATCGCCTCTGCTAGGAATATGTTACATTCAACAGATGTGCGCGCCTGCACATAATACAAGCATTATTATACCGATTTTTTCCCTGGAATTGATTCGGAAACCTAAGGGCCTGTTTTATTCCCCGGACCTGTTCCCGCTTGGATTTTTTTTTGTTGGGATATGACACGACTATTTATGCCGAGCCTCGTAACACAAGAGAAGGGCATGTCTTGTGAGTAGGAAATGCACTTACAACCAGTTGAATCACAAAGTGATTACCGAACTCTACAAAAGAACATCTTTAAGAAAAAAGGATTGAATTTGTTGTTTGCAACACGAAGGGCTCATTTTGAGCATGATGTTTGAAGAAGAAAGAGTTTTTTTTTTTTAATAATTTGATCCTATTCTTCAAATAAGTTTGTGTTTCCAATTAGTTGATCACTGTGTTGTCTTTTTTATTAATTAATTATTTAGATTAGAATCAAATGAATATTAAAGAATCCTTTCCCTGTTTTTGTTTAAAAGTTCGATGTATAAAATCTTGGCGAACTTTGAAAAAGAAAAATCCGGAAAGATTATGAATTCACTTCAAGCAAATAGGAATAACTAAAGAAACAGTTTAAAGATAGCTTATAGGGCACATCCTTCGTATCTAATGCTAATAGTATGAACATTGGTTCATTTCGAGATTAAAAAAATCTCGAGCATTTACTCTTTATTTTTTAAATGTTGGATTCTCTATAGTGCGGTCAGTAACCAACTTAACTTTGACTTAAGTACTCTAAAAGAAAGCCCTATTCCATTTCGC